ACAAAACGCATTAGTCTCAATTTCTCCACCTCCCCTCAAAGTAATGGAAGTTTCCAATCCTTTTATTTTTTAAGATTAAAGTTTTAATTTTATTGTATATAATAGACAAACAAAAATCAAATACAAACAGTCCATTAACCAACAAAAAATGTACAATTATAACACCTTAACAAACCCTTCCCCTCCTTCCCCATGCGTGAGAACCCACCACCTATGACTTCTGACACGGCTCAATGTGAATCCAATACTTATTAAAACTTATCCTTATATCTATTTGAATAATAATAATAATAATAATAATAATAATAATAATAATAATTTCCTCTTGTGGCTAAAGTCTACATTTGTCTTCCTTTCCAAATATCCAAATGCCAGCCTTCATTTTTAGCAAATCCTTCATTGTTTCCTCCCCAAATAGAATTTGCTAGTTTGGTCATTTGACTATATTCTAATAGTTTTTCTCTCCAGTCCTTTATAAGTAACTTTATTTTCCTCTTCCAAAATTTCGATGTTGTTAATCTTGCTGCAATAAAGCTATATTGGCAAATTTCTTCATTTCCTTTGCTGATTCTCTCTCTAAATAATCCTAAAAGACACATTTCTGGGTTTTTCGTAAACTTTGTAGTAATCATTTCGTTTGTTTAACCACCTTTTCCCAAGAATTCTGTACTAACCTACAAACATGAAAAATTGATCTTTCTGCATCTTGCACCACCAGCATTCCCCTCAATAAGGTTTATACTTCATGTATACACCGCTTTTCTCACCCTGGTGGGGACTCAAAGCAGTTTCCAACATATTCATGGCAAAATTCAATGTGTTACAAAATATGAAAACCTAACATTAAAAATAACAGTAACATAAAACTATCAATTAAATCATAAAACTACGTTAAAACATTAAAACATGGGACTAAAAACACACCAGTATAAACATTAAAATCACACAATCCAGAAGCATGGTCCAGGCCATTCCAGTATCAAATAACAATTGTACATAATCCGTACTCATTTCTTGTCCAGCTTATCACCTAAATGCTTGGGTCCACAGCCATGTTTTTGTTTTGTTTTTTTCTGAAGGCCAAGAGGGAGGGCACTGATCTAATTTCATTGGGGAGGCTATTCCATAGACGAGGGGTCACCACTGAGAAGGCCCTGTCTCTCATTCCCACCAGTCGTGCCTACGGAGGAGGTGGGACCTTTCCGGATGATCTTCGCCTCCCAGATGGTTCATTGAGAGATACGTTTGGACAGGTAATCTGGCCTGGAACCATTTAGGGCTTTATAGGCTAAAGCCAGCACTTTGAATTGTGCTCGGTAGCAGACTGGTAGCTAGCGGAGCTGGCGTAACAGGGAGGTTGTGTGAGAAATCTGACTGCAGCCCGCTGAACCATTTGGAGCCTTCAAAGGCAACCCCACACAGAGCATGTAGCAGTAGTCTATTCGGGATGTAACGAGAGTGTGGACTACCATGGTCAATTCAGACTTCTCATGTTACAGCTGCAACCCGTGCACAAATTTTAACTGTGCAAAAACTCCCCTGGCCACTGCCAAGACCTGGGGTTCCAGGCTCAGCAATGAATCCAGGATCACTCCCAACAACATGGGGTACAATACTGAGCCCTGTGGGACCACACAAGACAAAGGCTGTGGGGCCGAGCAGGTGTCCTCCAACAACACCTTCTGTGAATGGTCCTCCAGAAAGGACCGGAGCCACAGTAGAACAGTACCTTCAGCCCCATTCCCATGAGGCATCCCAGAAGGACACTGTGGACTACGGTATCAAAGGCCAATGAGAGGTCCAGGAAAACCAACAGGGACACACACACCCGTCAAGTTTCCTATGCAGAGCGTCCACTAAGGCAACCAAGGTTGTTTCCGTCCCATGACCTGGCCTGAAGCCAAACTGTGCCGGATCCAGATAATCTGTGTCTTCCAAGAACACCTGGAGTTGCGAAGCAATCACACGTTCCATGACTTTACCCAAAAAGGGGAGATTGGAAACTGGCTGAAAGTTGTTCAATTGAGTGGGGTCCAGTGATGGTTTTTTCCACAAGAAGCTACTTTTAAGCGGGCTGGAATCTCGCCTTCTTGTAGGGAGGCATCAAGCACCCCCTTCACCCCCTCTGGCTTCCTTATCAGCCAGGATGGGTAGGGGTCAAGCGAGATGCATGTGGTTGCTCTCGCTTCTCCAAGGATCTTGTCCACATCCTCAAGTTGCACCAACTGAAACGAATCCATCAAAACAGGACAAGAAGAGGCTCGTATTACATGTAGAGATTTATATAATTTAGCTATCATCTCTAGGGTTATGTAGCTTCTGTAAAACATTTTGAACATATTTCCTCTAATGGATCCAGCTTTTGAAAATTCAAATCCTCTTTTCCATAGATGCTCGCCATTATCCGGATCATTTTCCCCCAGAGCTTTAGCCCATGAAATCTGTTTTCATTTATCCTCTAAGTCAGGCATGGGCAAACATTTTTGCCTTGGAGATGCATTACAGGCCTGGCCAGGAGAGCCAGGCCAAGAGGGAGGCCCAGGAAAAGGCAGGGCTGAGGGCTGGACCTGGGAGGGGCGTGGCCAGTGGCGGGGCCTGGGGTGGAAAGGTCAGGGCCGGTCATCCTCCGGTTTTATTTATTGTGTCACAAGCAAATTGGGGGTACATTTATAATGTATCTAAAAGCACAAAGTTAAACACTTTGCATTATACTAGATCTCTTTTGACCAGAAGCTGGCCTTTGGTGTTGCTGTGGCTCCAGTTGTCCTCCCAGCAGGAGGATGGAAAGGAATGAAAGAAGGAAGGAAGGAAAGAAGAAAGGAAGGAAAGAAGGAATGAATAAAAAAGGAAAAGTAAAGAAAGAGAGAAAGAGGAAGGAAAGAAAAAAATGAATAAAAGAAGGAAAAGGAAAGAAGGAAAGAAAGAGAGAAAGAGGAAGGAAGGAAAGAAAGAATGGATAAAAGAAGAGATAAAGGAAGGATAGAAGGAAGGAAAGAAAGAAAGAAAAAAGAAAGGAAGGAAGGAAAGAATGAAGGTAGGGAAGAAGGAAAGAAGGAAGGAAGGAAGGAAGGAAAAAAGGACAGAAAAAGAGAGAGAAAAAGAAGAAAGGAAAGAAGAAAGGAAGGAAAGACTGAAGGTAGGGAGGAAGGAAAGAAGGAAGGAAGGAAGGAAGGAAGGAAAGAAGGAAAAAAGAAGTAAGGACAGAGAAAAAGAGAAAAAAGAAGAAAGGAAAGAAAGAAAGAAGGTAGGGAAGAAGAAAGGAAGGAAGGAAAAATAAAGAATGAAGGAAGGAAAGAAAGAAAGAATGATAGAATGGACCATTTATCGTTAATTTAGCTTTGTCGTGAATAGATAGCATCAATAGCTCTCTTAAAAGGATGACTAATCCCATAATGAGCCAATACTTTTGCCATTAATTCCCAGCAGACATTGTCAAAAGCTTTCTCTGTATCTAAAAATAATAACATGACCTCTCTATTAGCAATATCCAATATCTAACATCATACATTCTGAACTGTCTGCTAGGAAGAAAAAAACCTACTTGATCTCCATGTACTATTTTTGCTAAGATTTGTTTCAGTCTATTTGCTAAGATTTCTGCAGATATTTTATAGTCACAATTTACTAATGAAATTGGTCTAAAATTCTTATTTTATGTCTCTACCTTGTTTAGGTATGAGGACTATGAGACTTCTACCACTATACTCAAGAATCTCCCCTTTTTCATGATTCATAATTGAAAGCAATAACAGGCCCAGTTCTTCTTTGTTTAGCTTATAATATAAGGCAGAAAACCCACCTGGGCTTTATTTATTTTGACTTTCTCAATAGCCTTACAAAGCTTCTGCATAATTTTTTGTTCAGTTCTGCTTTCATTTCGTCCAAAAGTTTAAAAGACTAATTTCATCTAAATCAGTGGTTCCCAACCTGGGGTCCCCAGATGGTTTTTGCCTACAACTCCCAGAAATGCCAGCATGTTGACCAGCTGTTAGGATTTCTGGGAGTTGAAGGCCAAAAACATCTGGGGACCTCAGGTTGAGAACCACTGATCTAGATCTTGATCCATCTTCCTTCTACCTACCTGGGTTATTTTATACATTTCTATAATAATCTTCACATGTTTTTTGAATTCACCATATATCAGAAATTATTTCTCCTTTATTCCTTATCTTTATTATTAGCCTCTTCTTCCTACGCTCTTTCAAATACCATGCTAACAATTTTCCTGTTTTGTTTGGATTTTCAAAAAATGTATGTCTGTTAAACATACTTTTCTTTCAACTCATTTCAACTCATTTCTCATATTGCTGTTGTAATTTGGTCAGCTCTTTCTGTACTTTTGAAAAAAAATCTAATTTATTATTCCCTAATTCTTTTACTCTATCTCTAATCTTAGTTAGGATATCTAGCTGTATTTTGTTTTTTTTCTTTGAATCAAATAGCAGTTTGCTAAATCAGTCAGCCTCTTATAAACACTTTTCCTGCATCCCAGACAACCTTTTTGGCAGTATCCCCTTTTAGACTAGCTTTGAAATAGTTTTGTATTCCTACTCTGATCTTTTCCTTAATTTTGGAGTCTTTCAATATATAGTTTCCACTCTTAGAGAAGCTCTCTCCATACCCTGTGCATTTATATGGCTTATCTCATAGGTGGATCCTTTGATGTAAACGCAGAATTCCAATTCGACGGAAGCTCTTTCCACATTCTATGCATTTGTGTGGCTTCTCCCCTGTGTGGGTCCATTGATGGGAATGTAGATCTCCACTCTGAGAGAAGCTCTTTCCACATTCCATGCATTTATATGGCTTCTCTCCTGTGTGGATCCTTTGATGTACACGCAGAGCTTCAATTCGACCGAAGCTCTTTCCACATTCTATGCATTTGTGTGGCTTCTCCCCTGTGTGGGTCCTTTGATGGGAACGTAGATGCCCACTCTCAGAGAATCTCTTTCCACATTCCATGCATTTGTGTGGCTTCTCCCCTGTGTGGGTCCTTTGATGGCAACGCAGATTTCCAATCTGACTGAAGCACTTTCCACATTCCATGCATTTGTGTGGCTTATCCCCTGTGTGGGTCTTTTGATGGGAACGCAGAAGTCTACTCTGAGAGAAGCTCTTTCCACATTCTATGCATTGGTATGGTTTCTCCCCTGTGTGGGTCCTTTGATGTGAATGCAGATATCCAATTTGACTGAAGCTCTTTTCCACATTCTATGCATTTATGCGGCTTCTCCCCTGTGTGGGTCCTTTGATGGGAATGTAGATCTCCACTCTGAGAGAAGCTCTTTCCACATTCCATGCATTCATGTGGCTTCTCCCCTGTGTGGGTCCTTTGATGGACATGCAGAATTCCACTCTGAGAGAAGCTCTTTCCACATTCTATGCATTGATATGGCTTCTCCCCTGTGTGGGTCCTTTGATGGGCACGCAGATGTCCAATCCGTCTGAAGCTCTTTCCACATTCTATGCATTTATGTGGCTTCTCCCCTGTGTGGGTCCTTTGATGGCGATGCAGATCTCCACTCACACGGAAGCTCTTTCCACATTCCATGCATTTATGTGGCTTCTCCCCTGTGTGGGTCCTTTGATGGGAACGCAGACTTCCAATCGGACTGAAGCACTTACCACATTCCATGCATTTGTGTGGCTTCTCCCCTGTGTGGGTCCTTTGATGTAAACGCAGAATTCCCTTTCGACTGAAGCTCTTTTCACATTCCATACATTTATGTGGCTTCTCTCCTGTGTGCGTTTGTTGATGTTTAGTAAGAGAACTTCTCCCACTGAAACCTTCCCCACAGTCCATGCACTTATGTAGCTTCTTTCCTGCGTGTGATGTGGAATCAGGATGGATAATATTTTCCATTCTTTTAGATTTATGATTCAAATATTATTAAATAAGTTCACCGATATGAACTCTTTAACAGCACAATATTTCCTTTCGTGTTCGTGTCAGTGCTTCATTTCAGACCTAGGTCATCCGTAAGGCAAAGCTCTCAGAAGGTGTTCTTCACAAAGTTTGTTCAGAGGTTACCTGGTAGAGGAATGAAGAGGAAAATCCCATTAGGAGTTGAGAACAGAAAATCGTATTGGACATGAAAAACAATGATCTATTGCTGTAGCAGACCCAGAGGAAGAGGGGAGAAAGACTGACCCAACTGGGAATAACCCCCTTGCCCATTGAAGAACAATCCCTGCTCAGATACAAAGGGGATGACGGCCCAAGATTCTGTGCGTGAGATTATATGTAATGCAATGTGTTAAGAGTTTAATCCAACATTTGGAAAGGAATTTGCATTCTAACACAACCTATATCATAAAGGTAGGTAACCTCAGGCAGAACAAATGCAAAGGTAAATGCTAAATTCTACCCGTAGGCCACAGAAAGAGACTAGCTAAGCACAAGTACGGGGGGGGGGGGGGGGCACTTGGCCTAGAAATGGAATTCTGCTGCCCTCCAGATGTTTCTGCACTACAACTTTCATCAACAACCCACCCACACAGAATGACGGGATACTGGGGACTGCAGCCCAACAACATCTGGAGTTGGGGCGGGAGACATGATGTCTGGCTGGTTCTGCTTATTTCACCCCATTTTAGAAAGGACATTGACAAATTGCACCACATTCAGAGAAAAGCAACAAGGATGGGAAAAAATTAAAAACGGAAAGACTGCAGGAAATGTTAAGGTCCGTTTCCCCCAAACTCCATCTGTGTGCCTATTTGGGCATATGGAATATTTGTGCCAAGTTTGGTCCAGATCCATCATTGTTTCAGCCCACAGTGCTCTCTAGATGGAGGTGAACTACAACTCCCAAACTCAAGGTCAATTCCCACCAAACCCTTCCAGTGTTTTCTGTTGATCATGGGAGGCCTGTGTGCCACCATTTGGTTCAATTCCATCATTGGTGGAGTTAGGAATGCTCTTTGATTGTAGGTTAACTATAAATCCCAGCAACTACAACTCCCAAATGAGAAAATCAATTTTTGAGTGATGGTCACTCCTTAGGTTAGTAGGTGTCTTATGGCCAAATTTGGCGGGTTTTTTTTAGTTATGTTAATCCCACAAACAAACATTATATTCTTATTTATATAGATTTACCCTATTTACACCCTGCCTTTCTCTACCCTGAAGGGGACTCAAGGTGGCTTAGATTTAGGCAATTATTCAATTAACTCTAATTCCAAAATATTGAAATTAGAGTTAAATTTAAAATTAAATTAAAACATATTAAGCATTTAAAAGCATTACATTCAATATAAAATGGATCCCCAAATATATCGGTCCTTTCGTGGCCAAAAGTGTTATCAATTCTGCTAAGTTGGACCTTCTCAAAAACAATCAACTGTTTTTTCCACAGATGGCTGGATGGCCATCTGTCGGGGTGCTTTGAATGTGATTTTCCTGTTTTTTGGCAGGGGGTTGGACTGGATGGCCCAGGAGGTCTCTTCCAACTCTATGATTCTATGATGGAGGTCAACACTTGTAAGAGTTGAAAAATTAGATTCCTGGGTTGTTGTAGGATTTTTCGGGCTATATGGCCATGTTCTAGAGGCATTCTCTCCCGACGTTTCGCCTGCATTTATGGCAAGCATCCTCAGAGGTAGTGAGCATAGATGCGGGCGAAACGTCAGGAGAGAATGCCTCCAGAGCAGTGGTTCTCAACATGGGGTCCCCAGATGTTTTTGGCCTTCAACTCCCAGAAATCTTAACAGTTGGTAAACTGGCTGGGATTTCTGGGTGATGTAGGCCAAAAACATCTGGGGACCCCAGGTTGAGAACCACTGCTCTAGAACATGGCCATAGTCTGAAAAAACCTACAACAACCCAGGGATTCCGACCATGAAAGCCTTCGACAATTAGATTCCTATCTGCACCCAGCACGCCAATGTTTTAAAATCAAGAAATAGTTTTCTAAGATCTACAGAAACACTCGCTGCAACACCTCAGCAAGCAAGAGTCCAAAAGTGGCAGGCTCAAACCCAGAACCTCAATCAATGGCTGATACCAAATGAGAGACTCCCCCCAGGGCACACAGAAGACTGGGCGACTCAGAAGGTGTCGAACAGGCTGCGCTCTAGCACCACGAGATGCAGAACCAACCTCAAGAAATGGGGCGACAAAGTGGAATCCACGACATGCGAGTGTGGAGAAGACCACACCACAGACCACCTGCTGCAATGCAACCTGAGCCCCGCCACATGCACAATGGAGGACCTTCTTATAGCAACACCAGAGGCACTCCAAGTGGCCAGTGTCAAAGGACATTTAACAGTTTAATACTATGCCAAGTTTTCAAACTTGGTGTTTTTTTTTAAATACAATACAACTGTTTGCTCCTGATATGATAAATAAATAAATACTTACAAAAATGTTCAAGTCAAGCTCTAAGAAGGAAATGTCACGCAAAATCCCAGAGAAAACAATCCCCTCATCACTGTGGGAAAAGACTCTTTTTTTGGGTGTGGGGTGGGGGTCTGCCATGCTTCCATGGATAATGGTATCGTACGATATAGTAATATACTAGCCATCCCCTGCCACGCGTTGCTGTGGCCCAGTCTGTGTACATGTGTTTTGTGTATGTATATACTTGTGTATATGTGTGTTTGTGTGTATATATATATGGTTTTGCGCATGCGTTGAAATGTATTTTTGTTTTTTTGGCTTTTTAAGTCTCTTCTGCTGTGTTTTTCAGTGTTTTTATGAGTGATGGTCACTCATTGGCCTGACCGGTGTCTTGTGTCCAAATTTGGTGTCAATTCGTCCAATGGTTTTTGAGTTATGTTAATCCCACAAAGAAACATTGCATTTTTATTGATATAGATAATACTAATATTGTGTTATGGTAATAATATAATATATTGTATTTACATATTACTTGTAAGCAGCCCTGAGTCCCCTTCTGGGTGAGAAGGGCGGCATATAAATGTTGTAAACAAACAAACTAACTGACTAACAAATGTATTTGTATGAGCCTGCAGAGACCCCCTCTCTCCCCCATCCCCATAGGGAAAGCAAGGGACTCTGGGAGGGCTTAACCCATTGCACCACCGGGAGACTGAGGGACAGCTTTTATTCTAGAGCTGTGGCTATGTTCAACTCCGTGGTTTTGCACTGATGTGGCATTTTGGCTGTGCAGTGGGGGTGGGGGTGGAGGGAAGGGTGTGTTGTTTTGTGCTGTGTGTGGGGGAAGGCATGCAATTTGGTTGTGCAATAGCACAATGACACATAAAGCTATTCTATTCTATTCTGCCCTCCAAAGAGTTCTTTTACAGTGTTGCAGAATCAATGCTTCCTGCCTACAGGAGGCCTCCCTCCACCCCTTTCCTCCCTTTTGTTGTTGCTGCAGATTCTTAGAATCATAGAATCCTAGAGTTGGAAGAGATCTCATGGGCCATCCATTTCAACTCCTTGCCAAGAAATAGGAAAATCACATACAAAGCAGTCCTGACAGATGGTCATCCAGCTTTTGCTTAAATGACTCCAAAGAAGGAGCCTCCACCACACTTTGGGGCAGAGAGTTCCACTGCTGAACAGCTCTCACAGTCAGGAAGTTCTTCCTCATCTTCAGGTAGAATTCCCTTTCCTGTAGTTTGAAGCCATTGTTCCATTGCGTCCTAGTCTCCAGGGCAGCAGAAAACAAGCTTGCTCCCTTCTCCCTATGACTTCCCCTCATACAGTTACAAGGTAAAGGTTTCCCCCTGACATTAAATCCAGTCGTGTCCGACTCTGGGGGTTGGTGCTCATCTCCATTTCTAAGCCGAAGAGCTGGCGTTGTCCGTAGACATCTCCAAGGTCATGTGGCCGGCATGACTGCATGGAGCGCTGTTACCTTCTCACTGGAGAGAAGCCTATTAATCTACTCAGATTTGCATGTTTTCAAACTGCTAGGTTGGCAGAAGCTGGGGCTAATGGCAGGAGCTCATGCCGTTCCCCAGATTTGAACCTGTGACCTTTTGATCAGCAAGTTCAGCAGCTCAGCGGTTTAACCCACTGCGCCACTGGAGGGCTCCATTTATTTATATATGGCTATTATGTCTCAGCCTTCTCTTCTTCAGGCTAAACATGCCCAGTTCTTTAAGCCACTTCTCATAGGGCTTGTTCTCCAGACCCTTGATCATTTGAGTCTCTGGACACATTCCAACATCTCCCTTCAATTGCAGTGCCCTGAACTGAATACAGGTGTGGCCTGACCAAGGGAGAATAGAGGGATAGTATGACTTCCCTGGATCTACACACTAGATTCCTATTGGTGCAGGCCAAAATCCCATTGGCTTTTTGGGACGCTACATGACATTGTTGGCCCATGTTTAACGTGTTGTGCACAAGGTCTCCAAAATTGTTTTCACATGTCCTGCTGTCAAGCCAGGCATCGTCCCCATTCTGTATCTTTGCATTTCATTTTTTTCCCTGCCAAAGTGGAGTATCTTTCATTTCTCTCTGTTGAACTTCATTTTGTTAGTTTTGGCCCATCATCTCTCTAATCTGTTACGGTCTTTATGACCTGCGTCACAGTCCAGTTACATTGATCTTGAAAACACACAGCTATTCTATAAAACAAACATATACTTTTGAAAAAATATCTTCTCTTTCGGGACCTGTATGGTTTTTGGGCTACATGGCCAATGTGTCCCAGCAGCATTTAATCCTGACGTTCTGCCTGCATCTGTGGCTGCTGGCATCTTCAGAGGATCCTCTGAAGAATGGGAGCAAATGCGGCTGGAACACATTGGCCACGAAGCCACACAGCACCCAGGGATTCTGGCCAGGAAAGCCTTCGATAATACATAATGTCTTTTTTTCCCCTTCCTCTATCCCAGTGTTTCTCAACCTGGGGGTTGCAAGGGGGTATCTCACCAAAGACCATCCAAAAACACAATATTTTCACTAGGAAAAGTCTTGAATTGTGAGGTTTCAGACTGATAAAGAAAAAGATTTAACAACAGGAACTTTGCTGAGATATACAGAGGAATAACTGATAGTAATAACAAAAGGAAGAAGATCGGAAGTCAACACTTTTATTCTTATTTTTAAAATTCCCTCCTCCCCCTTTCTTTTTCTTTATCTCTTTTCCCTCTATATCCCCTTGAATCATAGAATTAATGAGTTGGAAGAGGCCTCGTGGGCCATCTAGTCCAACCCCATTCTGCCAAGAAGCAGGAAAATTGCATTCAAAGCACCCTGCCAGATGGCTATCCAGCCTCTGTTTAAAACCCTCCATACAAGGAGCCTCCACCACACTCCAGGGCAGAGAGTTCCACTGCTGAATAGCTCTCACAGTCAGGAAGTTCTTCTAATGTTCAGATGGAATCTCTTTTCTTGTAGTTTGAAGCCATTGTTCTGCGTCCTAGTCTCCAGGGAAGCAGAAAGCAAGCTTGCTCCCTCCTCCCTATGACTTCCTCTCACGTATTTACACATGGCTATCGCATCTCCTCTTGAGCTTTTCCTACTTTTCTTGAATCAATTGTTCCCCCACTTTCATTATATACCCCCCCCTTTTCCTTTTCTTTTGCCTTTTAATATTAAGATAAGCAATAAAAAAGAAAACACAGTATTTTCTGTTGGTCATGAGGGTTCTGTGTTGGAAATTTGGCCCAATTCTCTCATTGGTGGGGTTCAGAATGCTCTTTGATTGTAGGTGAACTATAAATCCCAGCAACTACAACTCTCAAATGTCAAGGCCTATTTCCCCCAATCGCTCCAGGATTCACATTTGGGCATACTGAGTATTCATGCCAAGTTTGGTGCAGATTTATCATTAGGTTCTTGTGGGTTTTTTCGGGCTATATGGCCATGTTCTAGAGGCATTTTCTCAAGGTCCGTGCCCATCAAGCCCTTCCAGTATTCTATTACTCATGGGAGTTCTGTGTGCCAAGTTTGGTTCAATTCCATCTTTGGTGGAGTCCAGAATGCTCTTTGATTGTAGGTGAACTATATGCCTAATTACACTGTCCCAAAAGCTTGGGTTTAAAAACCCTGAAAGCACGTATTTCGTGTTATACTAGCCATCCCCTGCCACGCATTGCTGTGACCCAGTCTGGTGATCTCGAAAATGAAGTAATGAGAAAGTGTTGGTTTCTAATATATGTAATGTATTTCTGCTTGTGGATACTTCTTGTTGCTTCTTTGTCAGTGCTGATGTGGAGATTGTCTGGTTTGCCTACTTTGGAACATGGAACATATTATTGTCCTTCTTTAGGGGTCCCTTTCAAATCTATGGTACTATATCTGGTGTGTGTGTGAAATTTACAAACTCAAATTCTTTTTTTCTCTTTTTTTTAAAAAAATCTTAAAATATCCAACTTGCATGAAGCATTTGAAAGTGTAACACAACTTACAAATTAAGCTAAAAATATTTCTGCATACAGACCTTGCACCTTTTTCTTGCTTATATGGCTAGATGGCTCTTTGTCAGGAAGGTTTTGATTACGTTTTCTTGCCCTGGTGAAGGGAGTTGGACTGGGTGGCCTTAAGTATTTTCTGTTGGTCATGGGGATTCTGTGTGGGAAGTTTGCCCCAATTATGCCATTGGTGGGGTTCAGAATGCTCTTTGATCATAGGTGAACTATAAATCCCAGTAACTACAACACCCAAATGTCAAGGTATATTTCCCCCAAACTCCATCTGTGTTCATATTTGGGCATATGGAGTATTTGTGCCAAGTTTGGTTCACATCCATCATTGTTTGAGTTCACAGTGCTCTCTGGATGTGGGTGTACTACAACTCCAAAACTCAAGGTCAATCCCCACCAAACCCTTCTAGTGTTTTCTGTTGGTCAACCAAGCTCTGTGTGCTAAGTTTGGTTCAATTCCATTGTTGGTGGAGTTCAGAATGCTCTTTGATTGTAGGTGAACTATAAATCCCAACAACTACAATTCTCAAATGCCAAAATCAATTTTTATGAGTGATGGTCTCTCCTTGGGTTAGGAGGTGTCTTGTGGACAAATTTGGTGGCAATTCGTCCAGCGGTTTTTGAGTTATGATGTCACTAAAAACGAATAGAGCATTTTATAGATATACTAGCTGTTCCCTGCCACACGTTGCTGTGGCCCAGTCTGTGTAGATGTGTTTTGAGTGTGTATGTATTTGTGTGTATGTGTCTATATGTGTGTTTGTGTAAGTGGTTTTAAGCATGCGTTGTAATGTATTTTTTGTTTTTTGGCTTTTCAATTCCACCTTTGGTGGAGTTCGGAATGCTCTTCGATTGGAGGTGAACTATAAATCCCAGCAACTACAACTCTCAAATGTCAAGGTCTATTTTCCCCAAATTTCTCCCAGGGTTAACATCTGGGAATATTGAGTATTTGTGCCAAGTTTGGTTCACATCCATCATTGTTTGAGTTCACAGTGCTCTCTGGATGTAGGTGAACTACAACTCCAAAACTCAAGGTCAATGCCCACCAAACCCTTCCAGTATTTTCTATTGGTAGTAAGAATTCTGTGTGCCACATTTAGCCCAATTCCATCTTTGGTGGAGTTCAGAATGCTCTTTGATTGTAAGTGAACTATAAATCCCAGCAACTATAACTCTCAAATATCAAGGCCTATTTTCCACAATCTCCACCAGGGTTCATATTTGAGCATACTGAGTATTCGTGCCAAGTTTGGTCCAGATCCATCATTGTTTGAGTCCACAGTGCTCTCTGGATGCAGGTGAACTATAACTCCGAAACTCAAGGTCAATGCTCAGCAAACCCTTCCAGTATTTTCTGTTGGTCGTGGGGGTTCTGTGTTGGAAATTAGGCCCAATTCTCTCATTGGTGGGGGTTCAGAATGCTCTTTGATTGTAGGTCAACTATAAATCCCAGCAACTATAACTCTCAAATGTCAAGGTCTATTTTCCCCAATTTCCACCTGGGTTCACCACAGATTCTCACCACAGAAGCGACCACAAGCAAGCGACCACAATATCAAAGGAAAGCTGACTGGCACAGCCTGTGGATCACAAGCAGATACAGTGAAGACATCTGCCCTTGCGCTTTGCTACTCTGCTGCTGAGTATGCATGCCCAGTGTGGAACACATCTCACCACACTAAAACAGTGTCTGCGCCCTACACCACTGGAGAAATTACACTGCTTAGCCGGTATCACACCACCTGACATCCGCCGGGAAGTAGCAGCGAATAGTGAAAGGACCAAGGCAGAGACATCTCCAGCTCATCCCCTGTTTGGGCATCAGCCAGCACGTCAACGACTTAAATCCAGACATAGTTTTCTAAGATCTACAGAGACACTCGCTGGAACACCTCAGCATGCGGGAGTCCAAAAGTGCCAGGTTTAAATCCAGAACCTCAACCAATGGCTGATACCAAATGAGAAACTCCCCCCTGGGCACACACGATGACTCGGCGACTTGGAAGGTGCTGAACAGACTGCGCTCTGGCACCACGAACTAAAACTCCCAAATGACAAAACCAATTCCCCCGCCAACCCCACCAGTATTCAAATTTGGGAGTCTCGGGTGTTTGTGCCAAATTTGGCCCAGTGAAAAAGACATCTGGCATATCAGATATTGACATTAGGATTCCTAACAGGAGCAAAATGAATTTGTGGTTGGGGGGGGGGGGGTCCCCACAACATGAGGAACTGTCTCAAGGGGTCCCAGCATTAGGAAGGATGAGAAACACTCCTGTAGACCCAAATGGTAGACAGCAAATCATAGAATCATAGACTCAAAGAGTTGGAAGAGACCTCATGGGCCATCCAGTCCAACCCCATTCTACCAAGAAGCAGGAATATTGCATTCAAATCACCCCTGACAGATGGCCAAATAACACAGCAAAGACCACAGAAGAGCACACACAAACACTGTGTCAATGCTTGGAAGGCCACAACTGAGGATCAGCCTCACCAGAGTCAAGAAGGAGAGCCCAGTCCTTGTGTCCCTTTGGCCTCCAACAGGAACAGTCACTTCCCAGGAGCTACTTCCGGGTTGGTGTTTCCAGGGGGCTCCTTTCAACGAGACCCCACGGACGCCGCTGTCCTGATTGGCTAGAAGGCCTTTGCTCCTCAGCACGTGACTGAAGCCGCGCCAGGCTCCACGCGGCGCGTTTCCAAAGGTTTTCCTCCGGAAACCTGGACGAGGGGAATAGAGTTCCGCTCTAAGTTTTGGGTCTTGGAGGAAAGAGAGGCTTGATTGGCATTGAGGAGCCTTGCAGCTGCAAAGTCAATCTCTGAGGCTTCAATTTATTTATCGTGTCATCCGCAACCAGAACATTGTATTACATTTCTAACAGAACAAAACAAACAAACAGATAAGAAAAACAACACAAATTTTGCAGACTTGGTAGTTGATTAAATGTCCTTTGACCAGTATCTGGCCACTTGGAGTGCCTCTGGTGTTGCTGCAAGAAAGTCCTCCATGGTGCATGTGGCAGGGCTCAGGTTGCATTGCAGCAGGTGGTCTGTGGTTTGCTCTTCTCCACACTCGCATGCCGAGGATTCCACCCTGTAGCCCCATTTCTTAAGGTTGGTTCTGCATCTCGTGGTGCCAGAGCGCAGTCTGTTCAGCGCCTTCCAAGTCGCCCAGTCTTCTGTGTGCCCAGGGGGGAGTCTCTCATCTGGTATCACCCACGGATTGAGTTGCTGGGTTTGAGCCTGCCATTTTTGGACTCTCATTTGCTGAGGTGTTGCAGCGAGTGTCTCTGTAGATCTAAGAAAACTGTTTCTTGATTTAAGACATTGGTGTGCTGGGTGCAGATGGGAATCTAATTGTCGAAGGCTTTCATGGTCAGAATCACTGGGTTGTTGTAGGTTTTTTGGACTATATGGCCATGTTTTAGAGCAGTGGTTCTCAACCTGGGGTCCCCAGATGTTTTTGGCCTACAACTCCCAGAAATCCCAGCCAGTTTACCAGCTGTTAGGATTTCTGGGAGTTGAAGGCCAAAAACATCTGGGGACCCCAGGTTGAGAACCACTGTTCTAGAGGCATTCTCTTCTGACGTTTTGCCCGCATCTATGCTCACTACCTCTGAGGATGCTTGCCATAGATGCAGGCGAAACGTCAGGAGAGAATTTGAACTCTCGCTTGCTGAGGTGTTCCAGCGAATGTCTGTGTAGATCTAAGAAAACTATTTCTTGATTTAAGTCATTGACGTGCTGGCTGATACCCAAACAGGGGATGAGCTGGAGATGTCTCTGCCTTGGTCCTTTCACTATTGGCTGCTACTTCCCGGCGGATGTCAGGTGGTGCAATACCGGCTAAGAAGTGTAATTTCTCCAGTGGTGTGGGGCGCCACACCACTCTTGGAGGAAAGAGAGGTTTGATTGGCATTGAGGAGCCTTGTAGCTGCAAAGTCAATCTCTGAGGCTTGTATGAAAACCAAAAATGCTCCTCCAGCAGTCACCAGCCAATCCCTCTCCAATGCCAGGAATACAGATTAATGGTGTGACATTAGAAAATGTTGATCATTTCCACTCCCTTGGCAGCCACCTTACCAAAAAAGTCAACATTGACACTGAAATACAACACCGCCTGAGCTCTGCGAGTGCAGCGTTTTCCCAAATTTATTTATTTATTTTATTTGCTTCATTTGTATACCGCTCTTCTCAGCCCTCAGGCGACTCAGAGCGGTTAACAACCAGTTTCAACAACACAATACAAAATCATTAATCAATTAAAACAGTAGTATCAATTAATTAACACCAAAATATCAATACAACAGTACAGCACTATAACAATCCATGATGTCTCATCAATAGAATCAGCATCCGAACTCATTGTCCGTTATTCCATTCCAATAATCAATCAATTGCACTGCTTAGTTGAAAGCCTGTTCGAAAAGCCAGGTCTTCATACTCTTCTGAATGCCAATAAAGAGGGGGCCAATCTGATGTCTGTAGGGAGGGCGTTCCACAGCTGAGGGGCCACTACTGAGAAGGCCCTGTCTCTCGTCCCCGCCAGGCGTGCTTGTGAAGCTGGCGGGACCGAGAGCAGGGCCTCCCCAGACGATCTTAACGTCCTAAATGAAGCAGAGAGTATTGTCGAAGTGCCCAAACACGAATCGAGGAACATGATAGGCACTGTAGACTCCTTCAACCAGAGAAGTCAGCCATAGCAGAGCACCTGATGAACCAGCCTGGACACAGCATATTATTTGAGAACACAGAAATGCTGGACCACTCTCACAACCACCATGTCAGACTACACAGAGAAGCCACTGAAATCCACAAACATGTGGACAATTTCAACAGAAAGGAGAAACCATGAAAATGAACAAAATCTGGCTACCAGTATTTAAAAAACTCTAAAATTGTAACAGCACAACAACAGAGAGGAAGCAGGCAGGCACATCTAATCACCTCTCAACAAAAGATTCCCCCAGGCATTGCCAGGCCATCAAATGCTAATCAAAGTGGTCAGTTGAAACATTCACACCTAGCTCCATCAGACAAAAGTCCTTTGTCCCACCTTGGTCATTCCACAGATATATAAACCCTTTTTCCTAGTTCCAACAGGCCTCACTACCTCTGAGGATGCTTGCCATAGATGCAGGCAAAACGTCAGGAGAGAATGCCTCTAGACCATGGCCATATAGCCCGAAAAAACCTACAACAACCTGAAGCAGAGTGTTTGAGGGAGGGAAACCAAGGTGCTTGTTTATAAAGCTATTGTGCTCCCGACCCTGCTATACACCTGCAAAACATGGATTATCTACAGACGTTACATGCAACTCCTGGAACGATTCCATCAGTGCTGCCTCCGGAAAATCCTGCAAATCTCTTGGGAAGACAAGCGGACAAATATCAGCGTGCTGGAAGAAGCAAAGACCACCAGCATTGAAGCGATGGTCCTCCGCCATCAACATGGACCGGCCACGTTGTTCGGATGCCCGACCACCGTCTCCCAAAGCAGTTGCTCTACTCTGAACTCAAGAACAGAAAATGGAATGTTGTTGGGCTGGAAAAGAAAGTCAAAGATGGGCTCAAAGCAAACCTTAAAAACTCTGGCATAGACATTGAGAACTGGGAAGCCCTGGCCCTTGAGCACTCCAGCTGGAGGTCAGCTGTGACCAGCAGTGCTGCAGAATTTGAAGAGTCACAAATGGAGGGCGAAAGAGAGAAACATGCCAAGAGGAAGGCGCGTCAAGCCAACCCCAACCGGGACTGCCTTCCACCTGGAAACCAATGCCCTCACTGCACGAGAACATGCAGGTCAAGAATAGGGCTCCACAGTCACCTACGGACCCACCGCCAGTACACCGATCTTGGATGACAATCCTACTTGGACAACGAGGGATCGTCTAAGTAAGTAAGCTGCAAATGTCAATCACTGAGGCTTCTATATGTAGTCTGACTCTAACCACTGCAGGAGTCTACCATAAACCATGCAGCTGTGGACCACCGAATGTAGAAGCTTTGCCCAGATTTCAAGGGGCATGAAAGGCACTGCAGACTGATTCAGCCAGAGTAGTCAGCTATATTTACTAACTTAGGCAATCCCGAGGATGATGGTCTTCCAAGTCTGGTGTCTTGGAGGTGGGTTCGTAGGTTTGAGTCCACAGTGCTCTCTGGATGTAGGCGAACTACAACTTCCAAACTCAAGGTCAATACCCATCAAACCATTCCAGCATTTTCTGTTGGTCATGGGAGTTCTGTGTGCCAAGTTTGGTTCAATTCCATCACTGGCGGAGTTCAGAATATTCTTTGATTGTAGGTGAACTATAAACCCCAGCAACTACAACTCCCAAATGTCAAGGTCTATTTTCCGCAAACTCCACCAGTGTTCACATTTAGGCATATTAAGTATTTGTGCCAAGTTTGGTCCATGTCTATCACTGTTTGAGTCCACAGTGCTCTCTGGTTGTAGGCGAACTACAACTCCAAACTCAAGGTCAGTGCTCACCAAACCTTTCCAGTATTTTCTGTTGTGCCAAATTTAGTCCAGCGAATGAAAATACATCCTGCACATCGGTATTTACATTATGGTTCATAACAGTAGCAAAATTACCATTATGAAGTAGCAATGAAAATAATTATATGGTTGGGGGTCACCACAACATGAGGAACTGTATTAAGGGGTCGTGGCATTAGGAAGGTTGAGAAACACTGTGCTAAGTACTAAATGATTCCATCAGCTGATCTACTTGAGAGGGAAGTGCTACATCCCTATTTATTTATGTATTTATTTCAAAGATTTATATCCCGTCCTTCTCAACCCACGAGGGGAGACTCAGGGCGGCTTACAACTGGCATCCATTAGATGCCAACAACAACAAATAGTCACAATACAAAAAAAAATTCTGCTCATCTGGCACTGGAAGCATTTCTCGATTGTGTGGCTCACAAGGTGCAAAATGGAGACAAAACATTTGCCACATTCCCAAATGTTTTATATTACATGTAATTATTACTAATAATATTACAATGTAATGATATAGTACAGTATAGTATAGTAATATATAGATAGTCAGGGGCGGCCCTGCTCTCAGTTCAGCCTCCTTCGCAGATGCAATTGGCAGGAATGAGAGACAGGGCCTTCTCAGCGGTGGCCCCTCAACTATGGAATACACTCCCTAGAGATATCAGATTGGCCCACTCCCTCCTAACATTTTGGAAAAGAGTTAAAATCTGGCTTTTTGAGCAAGCATTTGCAAATGCAGTGTACCAGACTAATCTAGATCTATGGAATGATTGGATGATGCGACGGGAAGATGATTTTAGTAATGAGACGCTGAAGATTTGTGTTTTATGGCTTTTATTGCTTTTACTGCTTTTACCCTTCAAGGTTCTCCAGCAAAGGATCACCGCCTTGTCGGGGCGCTGGAGCTTGAGCACCTCAATGATGTCATGAGCGAAACCGTGAAGGGACACCCAAGACGGGACGGTTGTGGCAGAGAGGTCAGACCAAGCGTGATCCCTGGGGAAGGCAATGGCAAACCACTCCAGTATCCTTGCCAAGAAAACTAAATGGACCAGTACAACCAGAGATATGTCGGTATGCCATCGGAAGATGGGACTCCCAGGTCGGAAGATGGCCAAAATGCTACTGGGGAGGAGCAGAGGATAAGTTCAACTAGCCCCAGATGTGATGACGCAGCTAGCTCAAAGCCGAAAGGAAGGCTAGCGGCCGACGGTACTGGAGGTGAACGACGAATCTGATGCTCTAAAGATCAACACACCATAGGAACCTGGAATGTAAGATCTATGAGCCAGGGCAAATTGGATGTTGTTATTGGCGAGATGTCAAGACTAAAGATAGACATTCTGGGGGTCAGCGAACTGAAATGGACTGGAATGGGCCACTTCACATCAGATGACCACCAGATCTACTACTGCGGACAAGAGGAACATCGAAGAAATGGAGTAGCCTTCATAATTAATAAGAAATTCGCTCAAGCGGTGCTTGGATACAACCCAAAAAATGACAGAATGATCTCAATTCGAGTGCAAGGAAAGCCTTTCAACATTACAGTGATCCAAATATATGCCCCAACCACAGCTGCTGAAGAAGCAGAAGTAGATTAGTTCTATGAGGATCTGCAGGACCTACTGGATAATACACCAAAAAGAGACATTATTTTCATTACAGGAGACTGGAATGCCAAGGCGGGAAGTCAAATGACAACTGGGATCACAGGCAAGCATGGTCTGGGAGAACAAAATGAAGCGGGACGCAGGCTGATAGAATTTTGCCAGGAAAACTCGCTGTGTATAACGAATACTCTCTTCCAACAACCTAAAAGACGGCGTTATACATGGACCTCACCAGATGGTCAACACCGAAATCAGATTGACTACATCCTTTGCAGCCAAAGGTGGCGGACATCCATCCAGTCGGTGAAAACAAGACCTGGGGCTGACTGTAGCTCAGATCACGAACTTCTTATTGCCCAATTTAGAATAAAACTAAAGAGATCAGGGAAAATACACAGACCAGTTAGATATGATCTCACTAACATTCCTAGCGAATATACAGTGGAAGTGAAGAACAGATTTGAAGGACTAGATTTAGTAAACAGAGTCCCAGAAGAACTATGGACAGAAGTCCGAGACATTGTGCAGGAGGCGGCAACAAAGTACGTCCCAAAGAAAAAGAAAACCAAGAAGGCAAAATGGTTGTCTGCTGAGACACTGGAAGTAGCCCAAGAAAGGAGGAAAGCAAAAGGAAACAGGGATAAGGGGAGATATGCCCAGTTAAATGCGCAATTCCAGAGGTTAGCCAGAAGAGATAAAGAACTATTTTTAAATAAGCAATGCATGGAAGTGGAAGAAGACAACTGAATAGGAAGGACAAGAGACCTCTTCCAGAAAATTAGAAACATTGGAGGTAAATTTCAGGCAAAAATTGGTATGATAAGAAACAAAGATGGCAGGGACCTAACAGAAGCTGAAGAGATCAAGAGAAGGTGGCGAGACTATACAGAAGATCTGTATAGGAAGGATAATAATATTGAGGACAGTTTTGACGGTGTGGTGAATGAATTAGAACCAGACATCCTGAGGAGTGAGGTTGAATGGGCCTTAAGAAGCATTGCTAACAACAAGGCAGCAGGAGACGACGGGATCCCAGCTGAACTGTTTAAAATCTTAAAAGATGATGCTGTCAAGGTGATGCATGTCATTTGCCAGCAAATATGGAAAACACAAGAATGGCCATCAGACTGGAAAAAATCAACTTATATCCCCATACCAAAAAAGGGAAATGCGAAAGACTGCTCAAACGTCCGTACAGTGGCCCTTATTTCTCATGCCAGTAAGGTAATGCTCAAGATCCTGCAAGGAAGACTCCAGCAATACATGGAGCGAGAGTTGCCAGATGTTCAAGCTGGGTTTAGAAAAGGCAGAGGAACGAGAGACCAAATTGCCAATATCCGCTGGATAATGGAGAAAGGCAGGGAGTTTCAGAAAAACATCTATTTCTGCTTCGTTGACTACTCTAAAGCCTTTGACTGTGTGGATCATAATAAAAAGTTCTTGGTGGGATGGGCATCCCAAGCCCCCTTGTCTCTCTCCCGAGGAATCTGTACAAGGACCAAGTAGCAACAGTCAGAACTGACCACGGAACAACAGACTGGTTCAAGATTGGGAAAGGCGTACGGCAAGGCTGCATCCTCTCACCCAACCTTTTGAACTTGTATGCAGAACACATCATGCGAGGATGTGCGGGGCTGGATGAATGCAAAGCTGGGGTGAAAATTGCTGGAAGAAACATTAACAACCTCAGATATGCAGATGACACCACTCTGATGGCCGAAAGCGAGGAGGAGCTGAGGAGCCTTCTAATCAAGGTGAAAGAAGAAAGCGCAAAAGCTGGGTTGCAGTTAAACATCAAAAAAACCAAGATTATGGCAACAAGAATGATTGAAAACTGGGAAATAGAGGGAGAAAACGTGGAGGCCGTGACAGACTTTGTATTTCTAGGTGGAAAGATGACTGCAGATGCAGACTGCGGCCAGGAAATCAGAAGACGTTTTCTTCTTGGGAGGAGAGCAATGAAATAGTGAGGAGTAGAGACATCACACTGGCAAGGAAGATCCGCATAGTCAAAGCCATGGTATTCCCTGTAGTAACCTACGGATGTGTGAGCTGGACCTTAGGGAAGGCTGAGCGAAGGAAGATCGATGCTTTTGAGCTGTGGTGTTGGAGGAAAGTTCTGAGAGTGCCTTGGACTGCGAGAAGATCCAACCAGTCAATCCTCCAGGAAATAAAGCCCGACTGCTCACTGGAGGGAAGGATACTAGAGACAAAGTTGAAGTACTTTGGCCACATCATGAGGAGACAGCAAAGCCTAGAGAAGACAATTATGCTGGGGAAAGTGGAAGGCAAAAGGAAGAGGGGCCGACCAAGGGCAAGATGGATGGATGGCATCATTGAAGTGACTGGACTGACCTTGAGGGAGCTGGGGGTGGTAACGGCCGACAGGGAGCTCTGGCGTGGGCTGGTCCATGAGGTCACGAAGAGTCGGAGACGACTGAACGAATGAACAACAACTGCTTTTATGTGGTCTTTATTATATGTTTATGTTTTAAATTATATTTTATGTTGTTGTTGACATTGATTACAGATTGTAAACTGCCTCGAGTTGGGCTGAGAGAGGCGGTGCATAAGTTTATTATTATTATTATTTGAAACACAACAAGACGAGTCCACAGCAAACACTCTGCTGGCTGTTGTATTGGATCACACGTCGGACACTTCCCAAGAGTCTAGGACTGTGTGATGTATCGGCGAATAATGCGTGCAGATCCCAGTAAGGTGGTCTTTTGCAGCTGGTAATTTTGTCAGCGCCGATTGTGTTTAAGTGCAGGCCAAGGTCTTTAGGCGCTGCACCCAGTGTGCCAATCACCACTGGGACCCCTTGACTGGCTTGTGCCAGAGTCTTTGTAGTTCAATCTTTAAATCCTCTTATGTCAGCTTTTCCAGTTGTTTCTCTTCAATCCTGTCACCTGGGATTGCATCATCGATAAAAAAAAATAAAATAATAGAGTAAAATCTATATAAATAAAAATGTAATGTTTCACTTGTGGGATTAACATAACTCAAAAACCACTGGACAAATTGAGACCAAATTTGGACACAATACACCTATCAGGCCAATGAGTGACCATCACTCATAAAAACACTGAAAAAGCCAAAAAAAACTTAAAAAGCCAAAAAACAAAAATACATTACAACGCATGCTCAAAACCACATATATACATAAACACACATATATACACACATATACACAAATATATATATATACACACATATATGCATATATACACACAAAACACATATACACAGAAAAGGGGAGGAGAGAAGGAAGGAAGGAAGGAAGGAAGGAAGGAAGGAAGGAAGGAAGGAAGGAAGGAAGGAGAGAAGGAGGGAGAGAAGGAGGGAGAGAAAGAGGGAGAGAAGGAGGAAGGAAGGAAAGGTAGAGAAGGAAGGAAGGAGAGAAGGAAATAAAAAAGTGAAAGAAGGAAAGAGAGAGGGAAGGAAGGAAAGAAGGAAGAAAAGAGAGAAAGAGGGAGGGAGGGAAGGAAGGAAGAAAAGAGAGAAGGAAGGATGGAACCAAAGAGCAAAGGAAGGGAGGAAAGAAACAGGTAGACAAGGAAGAAAGAAGAAGGAAAAGAAGAAGAGGGAAGGAAGGAAAGAGGGAGGGAAGGAAGGAGAGAAAGAGGGAGGGAAGGTTGGCCATAGCAACGTGTGGTAGGTACAGCTAGTAAATAATAAATAAATATTGTATGCATATATATCTTGTAAGCCACTCTGAGTCCCCTTCAGGGTGAGAAGGGCGGCATATAAATGTCATAAATAAATAAATAAATAAATAAATGTTTAGGTTTCCTCTAGGTGGGTTTTCTGGTGGTTCACAAGGCTTCTTTTTTGAACAAAACATTTCCCACACTCACAGCACCGATATGGTTTCTCTCCCGTGTGAAGTCTCTGGTGGCGTAAAAGGTGTGCATTCTGGGCAAAACATTTCCCGCAATCCCGGCATTTATATGGTTTCTCTCCGGTGTGTATCCTCTCGTGCTTCACAAGGTCAGCCTTTTGACCAAAACATTTTTCACACATCCCACATCTGTATGGTTTGTTTCCTACGTGGTTGCTCTGATGTTGCATAAGTTGTGAATTGTGATAAAAGCATTTACCACACTGTTGACATGTGTATAGTTTCTCCCCTGTGTGGGTTTTCTGATGCTTCAAAAGGACTGAATTCCAAGAAAAACATTTCCCACACTCCTGGCATTGATACGGTTTCTCTCCCGTGTGGATTCTCTGGTGGCTTATAACGTGTGATTTCTGAGCGAAACATTTCCCACAATCCTGGCATTTGTAGGGTTTCTCTCCTGTGTGAACTCTCTGGTGGATCAAAAGGCCTGAAGTCTCAGTGAAACATTTCCCACAATCCTGGCATTTGTGCCGTTTCTCTCCTGTGTGGATCCGATGGTGCTTTACAAGGTCTGCTTTGACAAGGAAACATTTGCCGCACTCCTGACATTCGTAGGGTTTTTCGCCTGTGTGGGTTCTCTGATGCCTCACGAGATGCAACTTGTAACTGAAACATTTCCCACACTCCTGGCAATTGTATGGTTTCTCTCCCGTGTGGACTCTCTGATGTCCTAGAAGAGATGAACGCTGAGGGAAACCTTTTCCACACTCCTGGCACTTGTACGGCTTCTCCCCCGTGTGCACCCTCTGATGGATCACAAGCCATGTCTTCCGAGCAAAGCATTTCCCGCACTCCTGGCATTTATAGGGTTTCTCCCCTGTGTGCACTTTCAGATGTTCCATAAGCAGGGAATTGTAATTAAAACATTTGCCACACTCCTGGCACTGGTGTGGCTTCTTTATTGTGCAGGTTTCTTGGTGGTTCACATTGTAGTGTCTATAATCAAAATCATTCATGGAAACCTCATATGTAAAAAACAATTTTTCAGCATGGACCCTCTTCCGAGGCACAATTGACGGATCTTGTGGAAGACACTTCCCAGATACATTGCACTCGTAAGGCTCCTCTTTGGTATAACTTTCCTCTTCTGTACCTTGGGCTTGCTGATGGCTGGTAAGTTTCAGGTTATGCCGGGAATGCTTCTCATACTGACCACAGACATATGTTTTCCTCCAGTTTTCTGCTGGAAATAGAAAAAAAACCAGAATAAAAATAATTTCCAAATTTGTGTGAAAAACTTTCTGTTGGAAACTAGACATCCCCTGCCACGCGTTGCTGTGTATATGTGTTCTCTCTGTGTGTATATATATGTGTGTGTATATGTGTGTTTGCATATACAGTGTTCCCTCGCTACTTTGCGGTTCGCTTTTCCCAGACTCGCTGTTTTGCGGTTTTTCCTACTGGGCCACCAATGAGGCTCAGAGGTAAGCCCCCCCCCCCCCGTTTATGAATGGTTGCCGTTGCCCAAAGTGGCGTTCTAATCCCACTTCCTGGCAATGATGGAGTGTGGAAGGGGGTTTCACCCTCCCCCTCGGAAGATAGGCAACCCATCAAGGCGGCTATGATTTACATACTGTTTTGAGGAGCGTTTTCATTCATTAAAAGAGAGCAGTATGTAAATCACGGCCTTATAGCCCCTTCCTTATAGCTAACAAAAAAAAGTGTGTGGTACCTTTAAATCTCCCCTCATTTCTGCCTCGCCCTCAGAATGTGATATATTGCCCCTACTTTGTGAATTTTCACTTATCGCGGGTGGTCCTGGAACATAACCCCCGCGATAAGTGAGGGAACATTGTATATGTGTGGTTTTGTGCATGTGTTGTAATGTATTTTTTGGCTTTTTAAGTCTCTTCTGCTGTTTTTCAGTGATTTTATGAGTGATGGTCACTTGTTGGCCTGATAGGTGTCTTATGTCCAAATTTGGTGCCAATTCATCCAATGGTTTTTGAGTTATGTTAATCCCACAAACGAACATTGCATTTTTATTTATATAGATTCTATAACCTATTGGCATTAACTGCACCATAACCTTATTGAAAAGGTAAACATGCTGTCATGTGTGCTTGGCCAATGTGAATCTCCATGAATATAGAGACCACCTTTTGAAAACCACTAGTCAAGAAAGGCATGACCTTGTTAGAAGTCAACAAGTGATATTCATAAGCATTGATGTAATGGCACACAGGTAACTTAGCTGTTAAACTGAAGAACCGTGTCTTTAAACTGCCATTACATTAATGCTTATGAATATCACTTGTTTACATTATGTGTCAGGAGTCAATTTCTGACGCATGAAGACATCACAAATTCCCTCCGTGACAATCTGACTGAATCATCCTGGCTGAATCAATTCTCTCTCTGTGACATTTTGACGTCAGCAGAGGGCGCTGGAAGCCTTGTATTGGAACTTATGAAGCAACAAGCTCTAATAAGGAAACTGAGAAGAGGGGGGAGATGGGCAGGAAAGGTGTATAAAAGGAAGTGGTGGTGGGAAAAAGTCAGTAGTGTCTTTCTCTGCTGCAGAGATACAAGCAATACATCCATTTCAAAGCAAAAATGGCTTGTGAGTGTTTATTTAATATTGGTATATAGATCCAACAGTCTTACATTATGTTTCATATTTACATTACGTTTCATAACAGTAGCAAAATTACAGTTATGAGGTAGCAATGGAAATAATGTTATGGTTAGGGGTCACCACAGCATGAGGAACTGTATTAAGGGGTCGTGGTATTAGGAAGGTTGAGAAACACTGTACTTGCAGCATTGCTACCATCATCATATTTACAGTGTCTTGCAATCCCAACCCAACACTAATTTTCAGAACAGAAATTATCATCCAGAAGGGAATGAGACAGCCTTATCAAGACAGCCCATCAGCTGTCGCAATTTAAAAAGCAACTGAAGATCCATATCTTCCGTCAGGTCTACCATTATGTCATCTGTACAAATTCATTTTACAAGGGGAGACATATTTATCCAAGGAGAGAGAGAGAGAACCTTACCAAGAGACACCACGATCTCATGGATCTCCGCCATGATTTCCTTGTGTAGGGCTTTCTGGACGGGATCCAGCAGGGACCACTCTTCCGGGGAAAAAGACACAGCAACCTCATCGAAGGTCAACAGGGTCTGGAGACACAAGAAAGAGGTCATGACTTACATTTAAACCAGGCTCACAAGCTGAAAAGGCTCCTAACGCAAGCTAAGTTAGATTTAGTGTATTGTCAACGGCTTTCATAATAATGATCTATAGAAATAAATTTAATGTTCGTTTGTGGGATTAACAAAACTCAAAAACCAGTGGGCCAATTGACACCAAATTTGGACAGCATACACCTAACAACCCAATGTATGTCCTTCACTCAAAAATTTTGATTTTGTCAATTGGGAGTTGTAGTTGCTGGGATTTATAGTTCACCTACAACCAAAGAGCATTCTGAACTCCACCAATGTTATGGGAATATGATTCCCAACCCAATCTTTCCCGGGATCTTACCAGTCCGTTATGAATCCAAAGCAGGAGTCCAAGAGTTTAGCAAGCAAGCACAAGCTTTATTCATATTGCGCAATAGGAGACAGACAGAAAGTCATGTACATAACATGGCAGTCAAAGTCCTGTTTGTTTCTGGACCCTCTGGTCCTGGGGCTTTTATAGAAGGGCTGTTTACGAAGAAGAAGTTCCCCTTTTCTCCTATCGACAGTTTTAGGTTGGGCAACCCATTCCTCCTGCGTAAACACTTCGGGGAATCGGCCCACCGCAAAACCGTTTCATATTTAGCAAGACCCTTTCCGTTCTTGTAAACATCTCCCATATACATTATTTATAGCATAACATATTGCATACATTTCTCAAAAGTAACTAGCTGACCACATCGGCTGACCACAAACGGTCTCTTGGTACAAGCTGACAAGCTGCTGCGTATTGTGACACCTATTTCAAAAGACAGAGAAGCAGAGGTTGCTTTTTAGACTGAGAGGCTGGAAATATGCTTTCCCTGTCACCTTTGAGATAGATAAGCCCAAAATGGAGAGACCTTGGTTCATTGCTTCTCTCACCAACAATGAAATTGAACCAAACTTGGCACACAGGACTCCCATGACCAACAGAAAAGACTATTAGTGTTTGGCAAAGAAGCAGCAAGAAATACCGTTTACCCACAAGCATAAAGAAATTATATAGATTAGAAACCAACACTTTCTCATTACTTTATTTTCCAGATCACCAGACTGGGCCACAGCACCGCGTGGCAGGGGACAGCTAGTATAATAATAAAACCACACAAAACCCCTGAGATTTATTCTTCCACAAACACCAGAATGAGCATTTCGGATGAGATCTGAGAAACATAGAAGCCTCAGCCTATGACATACTCGACAGCTGTAGTAAAATAAGAGTGGCCTTTAAAGAACCATTACAGCACAACTGGAACAAAACGCCTGACATTTCCTGCAGAATGTCAGGAAAATGGAACAAATTACCACCGCCTGGTTTAGAAAACCAGGGCTTTTAAAAAGGAGAGAGAATACAAGGAGTTTTGGAGTATGGTGCCATCTCTCCACTACTCTTTTCCATCGGAATCCGAAGAAGCCCCTCAGATACTGAACAAGTGCCTGGCTGCTGTAATGATCTGGATGAGGGCAAACAAGCTGAAGATTAATCTCGACAAGACAGAGGTCCTCCAGGTCAGCTATACGTTTGATTGGGTATTGGTTGGCAACCTGTGCTTGACGGGGTCGCACTCCCCCTGAAGACAGGACCGCAACTTGGGGGTCCTCCTGGATTCAGTGCTGACGCTTGTTCTGCAGGTGTCGGCGGTGGCTGGGAGGGCCTTCACACAATTAAAACTTGTGTGCCAGCTGCAACCATACCTCGTGAAGTCTGACTTGACCACGGTGGTCCACACCTTAGTTACCTCTAGACTGGAATACTGCAATGCACTCTACGTGGGGCTTCCCTTGAAGACAGCCCAAAAACTTCAATTGGTCCAATGTTCGGCAGCCAGACTACTAACTGGGGCAAATTACAGGGATTGGTCAACCCCCCTGTTTAAGGAGCTCCATTGGCTGCTGTTCATTTTACGGTCCCAATTCAAGGTGTAGGTTATCACCTATAAAGCCCTAAACGGTTTGGGACCTGCCTACCTTCGTGACCGCATCTCCTTCCACAAACCTGCACATTCCCTCCGATCCTCGGGGGAGGCCCTGCTCTCACCTCTTCCTCTATCACAGGTACGACTTGTGCGAACGAGGGAGAGAGCCTTCTCCGCTGTGGCCTCCTGGCTATGGAACTTGCTACCTGGTGAGATTAGGCAAGCACCCACCCTAGCAGCCTTTAAGAAAGATCTAAAGACTTGGCTTTTCCGATGTGCCTTTGGAGAGTGACCATATATTCCAGTCCTATTGTTTCACCTACATTGTTTCCCTCATATCGCACTTTCCCCACCTTATTGAAAATCTAATTCCACTGTTCAGTCCCCTATGAACTCCTCCCCCACAAATGTACCTTTTCATTGCTCTCCCATCCAGTGTTTAATCAGTTTATGTCGTGCATTTGGCCCACCCACTGTGTTTTATTTTCCATTATGTTATTTTGTACTGTTTATTTTACTTGATTGGTTTATTTATTTTATTGTGATGTTATCTTGTTGTTTATATTTTATGTTGCTGTAATGTATCACTGGGCTTGGCCTCATGTAAGCTGCTCCAAGTCCCCTTTGGGGAGATGGTGGCGGGGTATAAATAAAGATTAATATTATTATCATATTTTGTCTGTAGTGCTGGCTCTGTGTGTCTGAGCAGACAAGGTCCTCACCTAGGAAAGTTCATATTGTTCCTTCCCAAAAGTCCCCTCTACTCACCACATTGCAGGCATCAGGGCCACTTTCTGCTTCAGGCCAATTTGTGACTGGCTCCTCCATCTTAGGCCTTTGACCCAGCAAAACTTGCAAAGGAACTTCTCCCTCCTCTCTTTCAAGGTAAAGAGACCCTTAATGGGCTTCGCAAAGAAACCTACAGAAAAGTAAAGTATTGGTTTGTTAATAGACATAATATAGGAGTGTTATTGTTTTTCTAGCAGCATTTTCTCCTGATGTTTCACCTGCATCTTTGGTTGGCATCTTTCGATCATCTGTAGATGCCAGTCACCAATGCAGGTGAAACATCAGGAGAAAATGTTGCTAGGACACGGCCATACAGCCTGGAAACCACACGACACTCCAGTGATTCCGGCAGTGAAAGCCATTGCCAATAGACTTCAATGTAGGGATTCAAAAGTCAAGAAAGTGGATTCTACCAAATCCTGGGCAGAACTTCTCAAACGGTCCTGTTTGATGTGTTGTCGAAGGCTTTCATGGCTGGAATCACTGGGTTGTTGTGTGTTTTGCAAAGTTCCAGTAGCATTCTCTCTTGACATTTCGCCTGCATCTATGGCAGGCATACTCAGTTGTTGTTGGGTCTGTTGGAAACTAGGAAAATGGGGTTATATCTCTGTGGAATATTGTCCAGGGTGGGAGAAGGAGCTCGGTCTGTTTGAGGTAGGTGTGAATGTTGCAGCTGGCCACCTTGATTAGCATTTAATGACTGGAACGGCAATTCGACGACGAGACTGTTTTATTGTTTTAATGATTGTTTTATTGCTTGTGGATGTATTGTTTTAACTCGATTCATGTCTAATTGTAGTGTATAATTGTAATTCTTTGTACTGGCATTGAATTTTTGCCATTACTTATGTGTAAACCGCTTTGAGTCCTCCTCGGGGTGAGAAAAGCAGTATACAAATACTGTAAATAAATAAAAAAATAGGTTTCATGTGTATGTGAGGCATTAAACTTTGCTATTTTATTTATTTTTTTATTTATCGTGTCAGGGCAACCAGTCAATTATATTACATTTCTAACAGAACAAAGCAAACAAACAGACAAAATACAAAATTTGTGAGTTTGGTAGTTGATTAAATGTCCTTTGACCAGTAGCTGGCCACTTGGAGTGCTTCTAGTGTTGCTAAAAGAAGGTCGTCCACTGTGCATGTGGCTCAGGTTGCATTGCAGCAGGTGGTCAGTGGTTTGCTCTTCTCCGCACTCGCATGTCGAGGATTCCACTTTGTGGCCCCATTTCTGAAGGTTGGCTCTGCATCTTGTTGTGCCCGAGCATAGTCTGTTCAGCGCCTTCCAAGTCGCCCAGTCCTCTGTGTGCCCAGGGGAGAGTCTCTCATTTGGTATCAGCCATTAATGGAGGTTCTGGGTTTGAGCCTGCCACTTTTGGACTCTCGCTGAGGTGTTCCAGCAAGTGCCTCTGTAGATCTTAGAAAACTATTTCTAGATTTAAGTGGTTGACGTGCTGGCTGATACCCAAACAGGGGATGAGCTGGAGATGTCTCTGCCTTGGTCCTTTCACTATTGGCTATAACTTCCCGGAGGATGTCAGGTGGTGCAATACTGGCTAAGCAGTGTAATTTCTCCAGTGGTGTAGGGCCCAGACACCTCGTGATAATGCAGCATGTCTCATTAAGAGCCACATCCACTGTTTTAGTGTGGTGAGATGTGTTCCACACTGGGCATGCATACGCAGCAGCAGAATAGCACAGCGCAAGGGCAGATGTCTTCACTGTATCTGGTTGTGATCCCCAGGCTGTGCCAGTCAGCTTTCGTATGATATTGTTTCTAGCGCCCACTTTTTGCTTGATGTTCAGGCAGTGCTTCTTGTAGGTCAGAGCACGGTCCAGAGTGACTCCCAGGTATTTGGGTGCGCTGCAATGCTCCAGTGGGGTTCCTTCCCAGGTCATCCTCAGAGCTCGGGATGCTTCTCTGTTCTTGCTATAAATATGTTGGAAACTGCTTAGAGTCCCCCCTTCCCCGGAGGTGAGAAAAGCAATATACAAATGAAGTAAAATAAGTAAAATAATCTACATACATGCATTAATGAATCAACAAAGCTGATGCACACCTGGACAATAACAAGGAAATCAGTACCAAACAAAATGGAAATGAGAGGGATTGCTTCAGGCAAAGCTGAACCTTCTTACCAAGACCCCTTTTCAGCCTTGCTTTGCTCTTCTCGATCTGAGGGTGGGTGCCTTGATCCGGAACCAATGGCAGCGGTGTCTGTTTCCAGGGGGTGCTCTTTGAGCATTGCACTGCTGCTCTCTCTCCTTCCCTTGGCTTTTGATTGGTGTGTCCCACCCAGTTCTGTGTCACGTGACTAAGGCTGTGCTTCTTCTTGGAGAAGGCAGAGGAAGAAGGGCCCCCAGAAGCCTATTTCTTTTCAGAAGGAATGAGAGGTTCAATAAGGCTCTCCTTTGAAGGGGCTCCATTGTAGACTTCCAAGGAGCCCCTGGCCATAAGGGCTGGCTGTGAAATTCCATCTAGTTCAGGCCTGGCCCAAATTGGGCCCTCCCTCCAAGTGTTTTGGACTTCAGAAATGGTGGGAGTTGGGAGTCCAAAACACCTGGAGGGGAAGAGTTGGGCCAGGCCTGCAGTAGACTAAAATGTTGGGTTGTTGTAGGTTTTTTCAGGCTGTATAGCCATGGTCTAGAGGCATTCTCTCCTGACGTTTCGCCTGCATCTATGGCAGGCATCCTCAGAGGTAGTGAGGTCTGTTGGAACTAGGAAAAAGGGTTTATATATCTGTGAAAGGACCAGGGTGGGACAAAGGACTCTTGTCTGCTGGAGCTAGGTGTGAATGTTTCAACTGACCACCTTGATTAGCATACAATGGCCTGACTGTGTCTGGAGCAAACTTTTGTTGAGAGGTAATTAGATTTTTATTTATCGTGTCATCAGCAACCATTGTATTACAATTCTAACAGAGCAAAACAAACACACAGATTAAAAAGAAAAAGGAAAAAAAAACACAGAGATTTTGCAAATCAGGTATTTGGTTAAATGTCCTTTGACCAGTATCTGGCCACTTGGAGTGCCTCTGGGGTTGCCACAAGAAGGTCCTCCATTGTGCATGTGGCAGGGCTCAGGGTGCATTGCAGCAGGTGGTCAGTGGTTTGTTCTTCTCCGCACTCGCATGCCGAGGATTCCACCCTGTAGCCCCATTTCTGAAGGTTGGCTCTTCATCTCGTCGTGCCAGAGCGCAGTCTGTTCAGCGCCTTCCAAGTCACCCAGTCTTCTGAGTGCCCAGGGGGGAGTCTCTCATCTGGTATCACCCATGGATTGAGGTGCTGGGTTTGGGCCTGCCAATTTTGGACTCTCGCTTGCTGGGGTGTTCCAGCGAGTGTCTCTGTAGATCTAAGAAAACTATGTCTTGATTTAAGTGGTTGACGTGCTGGCTGATACCCAAACAGGGGATGAGCTGGAGATGTCACTGCCTTGGTACTTTCACTATTGGCTGCTACTTCCCAGCGGATGTCAGGTGGTGCAATACCGGCTAAGCAGTGTAATTTCTCCAGTGGTGTAGGACGCAGACACCCCGTGATAATGTGGCATGTCTCATTAAGAGCCACATCTACTGTTTTAGTGTGGTGAGATGTGTTCCACACTGGGCATGCATACTCAGCAGCAGAGTAGCATAGCACAAGGGCAGATGTCTTCACTGTGTCTGGTTGTGATCCCCAGATTGTGCCAGTCAGCTTTCGTATGATGTTGTTTCTAGCGCCCACTTTTTGTTTGATGTTCAGGCAGTGCTTCTTGTAGGTCAGAGCACGGTCCAAAGTGACTCCCAGGTATTTGGGTGTGTTGCAATGCTCCAGTGGGATTCCTTCCCAGGTAATCCTCAGAGCTCGGGATGCATCCCAAGGTAATTAGATGTCCCTGCCTGCTTCCTCTCTTTGAACCTAGAAATACAAAGTCTGTCACTGCCTCCACGTTTTCTCCATTTGCCAGTTGTCAATCATTCTTGTTGCCATAATCTTGGTTTTTTTAATGTTTTAACTGCAACCCAGCTTTTGCACTTTCTTCTTTCACCTTGATTAGAAGGCTCCTCAGCTCCTCCTTGCTTTTGGCCATCAAAGTGGCGTCATCTGCATATCTAAGGTTGCATAAATATATATAAACATTAAAATCACTAATATTCAGATTAAAAGTTGCTTAGAAACCATCTCAGGACACCCATTTGCCTCAAAGGCTTGGTCCCACAGCCAGGTCTCCACCATCCTTTTGAAGAACAGGAGGGAGAAGGTTGATCTAATATTGCCAGGAAGGGAGTTCCATAATCAGGGGGCAATCACTGAGAAGGCCCTGTCTCTCGTCCCCGGCAAACACCCCTGTGATGGTGGCGGGACCGAGAGCAGGGACTCCCCAGAAGATCTTAGTCTCATCAGCTATTTGGAAGTAGGAAAGCTACCCCTTTTTACGTACAAAGGATACCCTAAAATAGCCCCCTATTTTTGGTAAAAGTATGCAAGAAATGTGTGTGATATGAATGTGGACAATTCAGATAAGAGAAATGTAGGTCTCTTTAAGTCATTTCTGATTTAAGATTGAGCCTATGACAAGGTTTCCTGGGCAATATTAGTTCAGAGGGTTGGTGTTTTGAGTTCCTCTGATACCGAGAGAGTGACTTGCTGGGATTTATAGGTCACCTACAATCAAAGAGCATTCTGAACTCCACCAACAATGGAATTGAATCAAACTTTGCACATAGAACTCCCATGACCAACAGAAAATACTGGAGGATTTTGGTGGGCATTGACCTTGAGTTTTTAAGTTGTAGTTCACCTACATCCAGAGAGCACTGTGGACTCAAACAATGGTGGATCTGGACCAAACTTGGGGCAAATATTCAATATGCCCAAATGTGAACACTGGTGGAATTTGGGGGAAATACCTTGACATTTGGGAGTTGTAGTTGCTGGGATGTATAGTTCACCTACAATCAAAGAGCATTCTAAACCCCACCAACGATAGAATCGGGCCAAACTTCTCACACAGAACCCCCTCAACCAACAGAAAATACTGTGTTTTCTGATGGTCTTTGGCAACCCCTCTGACACCACCTCGCGACCCCCCTGGGGTCCTGACACCCAGGTTGAAAAACACTGCATTAGATCTTGGGAAGTTAAGCATGGCCATCTCTGATTAATACTCGGATGGGAGATCGCCAATGAATATCAGAAGCTGCAGGAAATATCTCAGGGGAAGCAACTTGCAAAGTTACCTCTGAGGATAACTTGCCTGAGAAAAATCTATAAAATCCCTGGGGTCACCATAGGATGGCAGACAACTTACAAGGTTCATACATGTGCAAAGTAGTCAGCTGCTTCATGATACAGAGTACGACAAGCTGATCCCAAGCTTTTCATCTTCCCCATCCGCATTTAGCCCTGAAAGTCCAACAGCCAGATCTTCATTGCTTACGGGTTTTATTTATTTACATTTTATTTTTAAGCAGGTTACTTAATTATTATCCCATATTATAAAAAAGCCCAATGTGCTCCAGACTTTATTAAATAGCTTTCTTCAGGGGCTATACTGGAACAAACACAAACACAATAACAAAAGTTAGGAAAGGACAACACATATTTCTAGTTACATGTATTTAAAATCCTAACGGTTCACATTCACTCTGTTTAGTTATTTAAATCTAAAACAACAAAAATGTCCAGAGTTGGTGAATATCTGTACTGTTAGAGAATGAAAAGGGGAACAAGGCTTACAACTTTTACATAGACATTTCAGCAGATGGTCAGAAAATGAAAGAGGTGGTGTAAAAGGTGTGCATTTTGAGCAAAACATTTTCCACACTCCCGGCATGTGTAACGTTTCTCCTGTGTAGATTCGCAAGTGCTTCAGAAGTGTCATTTCAGAGTGAAACATTTCCCAAATCCCTGGCACTTGCAGGGTTTTCTCCTGTATAATCTCAAACAGCATCCAAAACCTTTCCTACACTCCACCCATTTATATGGTTTCTCTCCCTGTGTGCTTTTTCTGGTGCTTTACAAGGCTTCTCTTATTCACAAAAGATTTTCCACACTCATAACACTGGTGTGGTTTGTCTTCTGAGTGGATTTTCTGGTGGCGCTGAAGGCTTGAATACTGTGTATAACAATATCCACACTGCTGGCATTCGTATCGTTTCTCCCCTGTGTGGACTGTCTGGTGGCGCAAAACCTGTACGTTGTGAGCAAAACATTTCCCACAATCCTGGCATTTGTATGGTTTCTCTCCTGTGTGGATTCGCTGGTGCTTCACGAGGCCTGAACTTTCAGTAAAGCATTTCCCACACTCCTGGCACTTGTGCCGTTTCTCTCCTGTGTGTATCCTCGTGTGCTTCACAAGGTCGGACTTCCGACCGAAACATTTTTCGCACACCTCGCATTTGTGTGGTTTCTTTCCTGTGTGGATTTTCCGATGCTGCACAAGTTGTGAATTGTGATAAAAGCATTTCCCACACTCTTGACATGTGTGTAGTTTCTCCCCTGTGTGGGTTTTCTGATGCCTCACGAGGTCTGAATTCCAGGAAAACCCTCTCCCACATGCCTGGCACTGGTATGGTTTCTGTCCCGTATGGACAGCCTGGTGGACTTGAAGGTGAGGCTTCTGAGCAAAACCTTTCCCGCATTCTGGGCATTTGTATGGTTTCTCACCGGTGTGCACTCTCTGGTGCTTCACAAGCTCAGACTTTTGAAGAAAACTTTTTTCACACATTTCACATTTGTATGGTTTGTTTCCTGTGTGGCTGCTCTGATGTCTCACAAGGTCTGAATTCCAAGAAAACCCTTTCCCACACTCCTGGCACTGGTACGGTTTCTTTCCTGTATGGACACTCTGGTGGCCTCGAAGGTGCGCGTTCCGAGCAAAACACTTCCCACACTCCTGGCATTTGTATGGTTTCTCACCTGTATGTATCCTCCGGTGCTTCACAAGGTCAGACTTCTGGAAAAAACCCTTTTCACACATTTCACATTGGTATGGTTTGTTTCCCGTGTGGCTGTTCCGATGCCTCACAAACTCTGAAATCCAAGAAAACCCTTTCCCACATTCTTGGCATTGGTATGGTTTCTCTCCTGTGTGAACTCTCTGGTGGCTGGCAAGGTTTGCGTTCTGAGCAAAACATTTCCCACAATCCTGGCATATATAGGGTTTCTCTCCCGTGTGCGTCCTCTCATGTTTCGCAAGGTTGGCCTTCTGACCAAAGCATTTCCCACACATCACACATTTGTATGGTTTGTTTCCGGAGTGGATTTTCTGATGCTGCACCAGTTGTGATTTGGTATAAAAACATTTCCCACACTCCCGACACGTGTATCGTTTCTCTCCTGTGTGCATTTTCTGATGCTTCACAAAGCCTGAATTCCAAGAAAACTCTTTCCCACATATTTGGCATTGGTAGGGTTTCTCTCCTGTGTGGATTCTCTGGTGACTTACAAGGCCTGAACGATGAGCAAAAGATTTCCCACACTCCTGGCATTTGTATGGTTTCTCTCCTGTGTGGACTCTCTGGTGGATTAGAAGGGCTGAATTACCAAAAAATCGCTTTCCACACTCAGGGCATTTGTGTTGTTTCTCTCCTGTGTGGACTCGCCGGTGATGCACAAGGTATGATTTTACAAGAAACTGTTTCCCACAGTCCTGACATTTGTAGGGTTTTTCTCCTGTGTGCATTACTTGATGTTTCATGAGATGCAACTTGTGTCCAAAACATTTCCCACACTTGTGACATTTGTATGGTTTCTCTCCTGTGTGGAGTCTCTGATGGCACAGAAGGGAGGAACTCTGAGAAAAACTCTTCCCACACTCCTGGCATTTGTGTGGCTTCTCTCCTGTATGCACCCTCTGATGAGCCACAAGCCACGCCTTTCGAGCAAACCCTTTCCCACACTCCTGGCACTTGTACGGCCTCTCTCCTGTATGCACCCACTGATGAATCATAAGACATGCCTTTTGCGCAAAACATTTGCCGCACAGCTGGCATTTGAACGGTTTTTCTCCTGTGTGCGCTCTTAGATGTGCCATAAGGAACGAATTGTAAGCAAAACATTTCCCGCACTGCTGGCATTTATGCTTTTTCTTTACTGTTTGGGCCTCTTCATGGTTCATAGACACTTCACATGAATAGTGTTTTCTTCCAGCATGGAGCATTGCATGTGGCACAAGTGCGATATCTTGCGTCAAACATTTCCCATATTCGTGGCATTTGTGGGGCTCCGCTCTGATACCACTTTTATTTTCTGATTCTTGGGCTTCCTGGTTGCTGCTAAGTTCCAAGTTCTGCCTAGAACGCATCCCATACTTAGCACGGACATATCCTTTCCTCCAATTTTCTGCTGCAAGTAAGAAAAAAACAATTTGTTTTCCAAATTTGTGTGAAAAACAATTTCAGAGTATGGAGAACAGATTAAAGCAATCAAAAAGATACTAAATCTTCAAAACTAAAGAGTTACTATGACTCTAATGCAGTGGTTCTCAACCTGTGGATCCCTAAGTGTTTTGGCCTACAACTCCCAGAAATCCCAGCCAGTTTACAAGCTGTTAGGATTTCTGGGAATTGAAGGCCAAAACATCTGGAGACCCACAGGTTGAAAACCACTGCCCTAATAGATTAGCTTTAAGCTATCCGAAAGCTGTCAATCAGAATGTGACTGAGTCTAACAATTTTTGAGAAGAGCTTCCACACTCCCAAGTTCAGCTGGTAAGTACATCCAAGCATTTATCTTTGGAGATTGCTTCTAGGCCAGTGGTTCTCAACCTGTGGGTCCCCAGATGTTTTGCCCTACAACTCCCAGAAATCCCAGCCAGTTTACAAGCTGTTAGGATTTCTGGGAGTTGAAGGCCAAAACATCTGGGGACCCACAGGTTGAGAACCACTGCTTTAATGGATTACCTTCAAGCTATCTGAAGCTGTCAATCAGAATCTGACTGAGTCTAACAATCTCTGAGGAGAGCTTCCTCCATCCCACCACACTCCTAAATTCAGCTGGTAACTACTCCCCTTGACTTTAAGTCTAGTAATGTCCGACTTTGAGGGGTGTGGCACTCATCTCAATTTCTAAGCCAAAGAGTTGGCATTGTCTGTAGACACCTCCAAAGTCATGTGGCTAGCACAACTGCATGGAGTGCTGTTACCTTCCCACTGAAGCAATGCCTATTATTCTAATCACATTTGCATGATCTACTCTCATTTGCCAAAATGCTACTGGGGAGGAGCAGAGGATAAGTTCAACTAGCCCCAGATGTGATGACGCAGCTAGCTCAAAGCCGAAAGGAAGGCCAGCGGCCGACGGTACTGGAGGTGAACGACGAATCCGATGCTCTAAAGATCAACACACCATAGGAACCTGGAATGTAAGATCTATGAGCCAGGGCAAATTGGATGTTGTTATTGGCGAGATGTCAAGACTAAAGATAGACATTCTGGGGGTCAGCGAACTGAAATGGACTGGAATGGGCCACTTCACATCAGATGACCACCAGATCTACTACTGCGGACAAGAGGAACATCGAAGAAATGGAGTAGCCTTCATAATTAATAAGAAATTCGCTAAAGCGGTGCTTGGATACAACCCAAAAAATGACAGAATGATCTCAATTCGAGTGCAAGGAAAGCCTTTCAACATTACAGTGATCCAAATATACGCCCCAACCACAGCTGCTGAAGAAGCAGAAGTAGATCAGTTCTATGAGGATCTGCAGGACCTACTGGATAATACACCAAAAAGAGACATTATTTTCATTACAGGAGACTGGAATGCCAAAGTGGAAGTCAAATGACAACTGGGATCACAGGCAAGCATGGTCTGGGAGAACAAAATGAAGCGGGACGCAGGCTGATAGAATTTTGCCAGGAAAACTCGCTGTGTATAACGAATACTCTCTTCCAACAACCTAAAAGATGGCTTTATACATGGACCTCACCAGATGGTCAACACCGAAATCAGATTGACTACATCCTTTGCAGCCAAAGGTGGCGGACATCCATCCAGTCGGTGAAAACAAGACCTGGGGCTGACTGTAGCTCAGATCACGAACTTCTTATTGCCCAATTTAGAATAAAACTAAAGAGATCAGGGAAAATACACAGACCAGTTAGATATGATCTCACTAACATTCCTAGCGAATATACAGTGGAAGTGAAGAACAGATTTGAAGGACTAGATTTCGTAAACAGAGTCCCAGAAGAACTATGGACAGAAGTCCGCGACATTGTTCAGGAGGCGGCAACAAAGTACGTTCCAAAGAAAAAGAAAACCAAGAAGGCAAAATGGTTGTCTGCTGAGACACTGGAAGTAGCCCAAGAAAGGAGGAAAGCAAAAGGAAACAGTGAAAAGGGGAGATATGCCCAGTTAAATGCGCAATTCCAGAGGTTAGCCAGAAGAGATAAGGAACTATTTTTAAATAAGCACTGCATGGAAGTGGAAGAAGACAACAGAATAGGAAGGACAAGAGACCTCTTCCAGAAAATTAGAAACATTGGAGGTAAATTTCAGGCAAAAATTGGTATGATAAGAAACAAAGATGGCAGGGACTTAACAGAAGCTGAAGAGATCAAGAGAAGGTGGCGAGACTATACAGAAGATCTGTATAGGAAGGATAATAATATTGAGGATAGTTATGACGGTGTGGTGAATGAATTAGAACCAGACATCCTGAGGAGTGAAGTTGAATGGGCCTTAAGAAGCATTGCTAACAACAAGGCAGCAGGAGACGACGGGATCCCAGCTGAACTGTTTAAAATCTTAAAAGATGATGCTGTCAAGGTGATGCATGCCATTTGCCAGCAAATATGGAAAACACAAGAATGGCCATCAGACTGGAAAAAATCAACGTATATCCCCATACCAAAAAAGGGAAATGCGAAAGACTGCTCAAACTTCCGTACAGTGGCCCTTATTTCTCATGCCAGTAAGGTAATGCTCAAGATCCTGCAAGGAAGACTCCAGCAATACATGGAGCGAGAGTTGCCAGATGTTCAAGCTGGGTTTAGAAAAGGCAGAGGAACGAGAGACCAGATTGCCAATATCCGCTGGATAATGGAGAAAGGCAGGGGGTTTCAGAAAAAAAGTCTATTGATTATTCTAAAGCCTTTGACTGTGTGGATCATAATAAATTGTGGCAAGTTCTTGGTGGTATGGAGATACCAAGCCACCTTGTCTCTCTCCTGAGGAATTTCTATAAGGACCAAGTAGCAACAGTCAGAACTGACCACGGAACAACAGACTGGTTCAAGATTGGGAAAGGCGTACGGCAAGGCTGCATACTCTCACCCAACCTTTTTAACTTGTATGCAGAACACATCATGCGATGTGCGGGGCTGGATGAATGCAAAGCTGGGGTGAACATTGCTGGAAGAAACATTAACAACCTCAGATATGCAGATGACACCACTCTGATGGCCGAAAGCGAGGAGGAGCTGAGGAGCCTTCTAATCAAGGTGAAAGAAGAAAGCGCAAAAGCCGGGTTGCAGCTAAACGTCAAAAAAACCAAGATTATGGCAACAAGAATGATTGACAACTGGAAAATAGAGGGAGAAACCATGGAGGCCGTGACAGACTTTGTATTTCTAGGTGCAAAGATTACTGCAGATGCAGACTGTGGCCAGGAAATCAGAAGACGCTTACTTCTTGGGAGGAGAGCAATGTCCAATCTCGATAAAATAGTAAAGAGTAGAGACATCAGACTGGCAACAAAGATCCGCCTAGTCAAAGCCATGGTATTCCCTGTAGTCACCTACGGATGTGAGAGCTGGACCTTAGGGAAGGCTGAGCGAAGGAAGAGAGGCGCTTTTGAGCTGTGGTGTTGGAGGAAAGTTCTGAGAGTGCCTTGGACTGCGAGAAGATCCAACCAGTCCATCCTCCAGGAAATAAAGCCCGGCTGCTCACTGGAGGGAAGGATACTAGAGGCAAAGATGAAGTACTTTGGCCATGTAATGAGAAGACAGGAAAGCTTAGAGAAGACAATTATGCTGGGGAAGATGGAGGGAAAAAGGAAGGGGGGGGGGGCGACCAAGGGCAAGATGGATGGATGGTATCCTTGAAGTGACTGGACTGACCTTGAGGGAGCTGGGGGTGGTAACGGCCGACAGGGAGCTCTGGCGTAGGCTGGTTCATGAGGTCACGAAGAGTCGGAGATGACTGAATGAATGAACAACAACACTCTCATTTGCATGTTTTCGAAAGTAAAAACTTTCTGTCTATATTTCAGATTTCAATATTAATGTCAAAAATACGTAGTATGATTTTACATAGGATTTGTGCTACATTAAAACAGTAAAGGTTGGCAGAAGCTGGGGCTAACAGCAGGAGCTCACCCTGCTCCCCAGACTCGAACTGCCGACCTTATGGTCATCAAGTTCAGCAGCTCAGCGGCTCAACCCACTGCACCACCATGGGCTCCCTCAAAGAACTATAGCTACCATTACATTATTAGTACAAATGAATTTTACAAGAGAAGACATAATCATCTGAGGAAAGCAAAAGCCTTACCAAGAAAGGCCATGATCTCATGGATCTCCACCATGATTTGCTTGTGCAGGGCTCTCTGGTCAGGATCTAGCAGGGCCCACTCTTCCGGGGAGAAAGACACAGAGACCTCATCAAAAGTGAACACACTCTGGAGACAAAAGAGAAAATTCCTGATTCACACCTAAAGCAAATTCACACCAGCATGAGCAATGTGGACAAGCTCTGGCAAACACAGAAGCTTCAGCCCATGTTGAACTCTACAGCTGTAGTAAAAAGAGATTGGCTTGTAAACAACCATTGCATCTCAGCTAACAAATAAAATGCCAGAGGTTTTACACTGCAAAGAGGCTGGGGCAAAATTACAGGCTACAGCCTATGTTGGACGGGGTTACACTCCCCCTGAAGACGCAGGTTCGCAGCTTGCGAGTGATCCTGGATTCATGGACTGTGTTTCAAAAAATCACAAGTCGAACACTTCCCAAGCATCTAGGACTGTGTGATGTATTTTTGCATGATGCACGCAGATCCAAGTCAGGTGTCCTTTTGCAGTTGACAGATTGTGATTTTGTCAATGTTTATTGTTTCCAAATGCCGGCTGAGATCTTTTGGCACGGCACCCAGTGCACCAATGACCACCGGGACCACCTGTACTGGTTTACGCCAGAGCCTTTGCAGTTCGATTTTGAGGTCTTGATAGCGGCTGAGTTTTTCCTGTTGTTTTTCCTCAATGCGACTGTCACCTGGTATGGTGACATCAATAATCCAGACTTTTTTCTTTTCCACAATCATTATCATTATCATTATTATTAGAAACACAACAAGATGAGTCCACAGCAAACAAGATCACTCTACTGGCTGTTGTATTGGATCACACATCAGACACTTCCTAAGTGTCTATAATAATGGGTATCAACAACAACAACAATAATAATAATAATAATAATAATAATAATAATAATAAAGTTGCTCAGATGATTCATTGGAACCTGTGCCAAAAATACTGGTGGGATCACAGGCCAGAAAAAGTTACAGAAAATGAACACGTCAAACTCGTCTGGGACTTCCAAATTCAGACTGACAAGAGTTTTGGAGCACCATGTTGAACTCTACAGCTGTAGTAAAAAGAGATTAGCTCTTGACCTCATGATCATGTTAAAAACAAAGTATAGATTGTCGATGTTGCAATCCCAGGTGACAGCAGGATTGAAGAGAAACAACTGGAAAAGCTGACATGATATGAGGATTTAAAGGTCGAACTGCAAAGACTCTGGTACAAGCCAGTCAAGGTGGTCCCAGTAGTGATCGGCACACTGGGTGCAGTGCCTAAAGACCTTGGCCTGCACTTAAACACAATCGGCGCTGACAAGATTACCATCTGCCAGCTGCAGAAGGCCACCTTACTGGGATTTGCACATATTATTCGCCGATACATCACACAGTCCTAGACACTGGGGAAGTGTCCGACGTGTGATCCAATTCAACAGCCAGCAGAGTGATCTTGTCTGCTGTGGACTCATCTTGTTGTGTTTCAAATAATAATAATAATAATAATAATTATTATTATTATTATTATTATTATTATTATTATTTATTTATTTATTGTTCGAACTTATATGCTGCCACTCCCCTGGGGCTCGGAGCGGCTTACAAGAATGGCTAAAATCTAACACAATTTAAAAACAATTTAAAACAATTTAAAAACAGCAATATTAAAAATCAAAGGCCTGTCGAAACAGGTATGATACCCACTGGGTGAACCTATGTAAGTCATGCTCTCTCAAGTTCAGCGAAAGGCAAGGGCAACACACGGATCCCTGCTGAAACAAATATGAGAGGTTTACCATAGCAAGCTTGTTTTCTGCTGCCCTGGAGACTAGAACGCAAAGGAACAATGGCTTCAAACTACAAGAAAGGAGATTCCATCTGAACATGAGGAAGAACGTATTGACTGTGAGAGCCGTTCAGCAGTGGAACTCTCTGCCCTGGAGTGTGGTGGAGGTTCCTTCTTTGGAAGCTTTTAAACAGAGTCTGGATGGCCATCTGTCAGGGGTGCTTTGAATGCAATTTTCCTGCTTCTTGGCAGAATGGGGTTGGACTGGAAGGCTCATGAAGTCTCTTCCAACTTTAGGATTCTATGTGTCATAAGCTGGAAAAACACTCAAAGGCACACCATAAGAACAGCCCCAGTAAAGGTGAAAGGAGAGAAGGGGGCCAAATCTCACCTTTCCAGTAGACTTTAGGAAAAAGCCTACTAGGCTACACTTTATATGTACTTCCTCTACAATATTTTTTGTTCTTTTTGAGCATAATCTGATGTTGCTTCACCACATGTTCCAATTTCCCTCTGGTGAATTTGAAGCAACTTTGGAGAGAAAACAGAATTAAAATAAAGTAATTTAAAAAAAAATCCCAAATGCTCTGAAACAAAATGCTTCCATGGCACTGAGAAGGATGCTGTTTAAGGAAAGAAAAAAACAATTCAGACTTTTCTAGAAATATTTTTTTTTCCAGGAATCATTCTCCTTACCTGATCTGGAGCTGTTCCATTGCAAAGAAGAGGAAGAGACAGCGTGGGCCTCATTTCAGGCTCTGTGGGAGAGACCAAGGAGGGGGACGCTAATCATAGAGGCTTCTGTCAGAGTCTGGGGTTACAGTCTTAAAGAAATGCTCAGTAGTAAGGCCAGGCATGCCTGTGTTACCAAATTATTATTCACTTATTATTTCCAACATTTCTATCACGCCCTTCTCAACCTCAAAGTAGGGACTCAGGGCGGCTTACAAAGCCTTTCACAAAGGAACTCCTCCTTACAAAGCCATTTTAGATTAGCCCAGATCTATTTCCTCTTGATCCTCTGTATACCTGAAACAATTTCAACAGCTATTTATTTATTTATTTATTGTATCAGAAGAGAACTGAGAATACAGTTAAAACACACATACATGGGGCATTCATTAAAGATTTCCCCTGGCCCACTTCCTGTGGACTGAGAGCAATGAAACTTCAAAGCGCTGGCTTTGGTCTATAAAGCCCTAAATGGTTCTGGCCCAACTTACCTGTCCGAATGCACCTCCCCTTATGAACCGTCTAGGACCTTAAGATTGTCTGGGGGGCTCTGCTCTTGGTCCCGCCTTCGTCACAAGTACGTCTGGCAGGGACGAGAGACAGGGCCTTCTCAGCGGTGGCCCCTTGGCTGTGGAACGCCCTCCCTAGGGATATCAGATCAGCCCCCTCCCTTTTAACATTTTAAAAAAGTCAAAATGTGGCTTTTTGAGCAAGTGTTTGCAAACACAGAGTAACTGACATAGGGATATGGAATGACTTGACGATGGGACTGGGCAATGTTTTTAACAAGGAGACACTAATGATTTATGCTTTTATTGCTGTTGTTATGGTTTTTATTATATGTTAATGTTTTAATTGTATTTATGGTACTGTAGGCATTGAATTTTGCCCTGTAAACTGCCTTGAACCACCTGTTGGGCTGAGAAAGGTGGTATACAAATACAGTAAATAAATAAATAAATAAATGGAGAATCATCACCATAAACCTCTTTCATCTCACCGAATGTCTCCTTTGGTGTGCGGCCTTTTAAGGAAAGGAACTTGACAACTGCTCTGTATTCCATTGGGTCCCTTATCAAACCTCACACCAATTCAGCACCTGTACAATCAAGACTGTTCTCAGTTCTGAGTTGTAAACTGGCATGTCACCTATAGAGACTTATATCAGTACGCATGTGCAGTTTCAGCATCCTGTGATAAATAGAAGTGGGTCTTTAATGAATGCCTCCCATATATATACCACAAAGTTAAAAACTTGGCATTGTACTAAATTTCCCTTGAACAGAAGCTGGCCACTGAAGCTGGTGTTGCTGTGACAAGGTCCTCCATTGTGCATATGGCAGGACTCAGACTGCATTGGAGTAGGTGGTCTGTGGTTTGCATTTCAACAGCTAATGAAATGGAGGAGTAGTGAAAGAGGGTTGGAGAAACAGAGGGTTGAATGAAAAGTAATGCCTCCACCTTCGTTACTTGGGTTTGGATGGGAATATTTTAATAAATCAAACCCAGAAATAATCGTTAGAAGGTGCTCTTTAACTATCACTATTCACTTTTCCACATAATCACCAGACAATTGGATACATTTCTGCCAACGATGAACATGTTTTCTGAAGCCGTCAAGGAAGAAGTCGACACTCTGTTTCCGCAACCAGCATCTCACAGTTCTCTCATCCTGGGTACCCATCGTGCACAGATCTTCCGATAGCCAACCAAAGCAATAATGTGACGCACATGTTCTTGTGAAATGCTGATTATGCTTGAAATTTTTATCTGAGTGATACTACAATTGTCCTGAATCAATCTGTCAACCTTTTGCTTGTGAAACTTGGTGGTTGCTGTCACAGGATGTCCAACTCTTTGTTTGTCACGCAAGTCAGATGTTCCCACCTCAACATTTTTAAACTTACTTGCCCAACAACGCACAGTACTCACATCAACACAATCACCATAAACAGCTTGCATTCTCTGATGAATCTCCTTTGGGGTGACACCTTCTGTTGTCAAGAATTCAATGACTGCATGTTGCTTAAGTCGCTATGACCGACTTTATGCACAGGGTTCCATACTTCACACTTTAACAACACAAGCATTCAATGCTAACGTTTCCTGCCAAAATGGAACTGTAGAAGAGAGTCTACTGAACAAGCCAGTACCTGCCGCATACCAGTACTGCCATCTGATGAGGAATTATGAAGGTGGAGGCCTTACTTTTCATTCAGCCCTTGTACAGTGTTTTCAGTGTATGGTTGCAGCAATAAGCCTGAAGTAAATAAAGCTTTAGGTGAACAGCAACAGGATTAGGCTGTTGTTAATTCTATTGTAGCCATTTGTGTCTCCCTACAACACACAAGGGAAAGAGCAGCTGTCTACAAAATCCCTTAATGAGCATGATCAATCCACTAAATATGGAAATAATAATAACAACAACAACTTGAAGGTACACAACAAGACCAAAGAGACCTGCAGAATTCTAGACAGAGAGTGTTAATCCTTACCTTGAAAGGAGGCCCATGCATCCTTCTCCTGCTTGATGGCCCTCCACTCAGGACTCTGCCTAGTGTCCAAGGAAGCCTTCCCTGCCACGGGGAATTCAGAAAAATCTGTAGCAAAGAGATGCCTCTCCTGAAACAGTAATGAATAATCAAAATATTCAACTGGGAGAACGTGGAGAGAAGGGTTAGTGACTCTGTGGAAGGGATTTTTATTTACAACATTAATATGTCACACTTCTCACCCTGAAGGGGACAGAGCGGCTTACAAGTTATATGTACATACAATATATTATAGTACTAGCCGTCCCCTGCCACGTGTTGCTGTGGTTCAGTCTGGTGATCTGGAAAATAAAGTAACGAGAAAGTGTTGTTTCTAATCTATGTAATTTCTTTCTGCTTGTGGGTAAACAGTATTCTTGCTGTTTCTTTGTCACTGTTGATGTGGAGATTGTCTGGTTTGCCTATTCTGGAACATGCAATATATCATTGTCCTTCTTTAGGGGTCCCTTTCAAATCTATGATACTATATATGTGTGTGTGTGTGATCCATATCTCTATCTATCTATCTATCTATCTATCTATGGCTGGATGGCGCTTTGTCAGGAGGGCTTTGTTTATGTTTCCTTGCCCTGGTGAAGGGAGTTGGACTGGATGGCCTTAATTTTTTTCTGTTGGTCATGGAGGTTGTGTGGGAAGTTTGCCCCAATTCTGTCATTCTTGGGGTTCAGAATGCTCTTTGATTGCAGGTGAACTATAAATCCCAGTAACTACAACTCCCAAATGTCACGGTCTATTTCCCCCCAAACTCAACCAGTGTTCACATTTGGGTATATTGAGTATTTGTTCCAAGATTTGTCTAGATGATCCACTGTTTGAGTCCACAGTGCTCTCTGGATGTAGGTAAACTACAACTCCCAAACTCAAGGTCAATGCCCACCAACAGTGTTTTCTGTTGGTCATGGGAGTCCTGTGTCGCACGTATGGTTCAATTCCATCATTAGTGGAGTTCAGAATGCTCTTTGATTGTAGGTTAACTATAAATCCCAGCAACTACAACTCCCAAATGACAAAATCAATTTTTTGAGTGATGGTCACTCCTTGGGTTAGTAGGTGTCTTGTGGCCAAATTTGGTGGCAATCTGTCCTGTGGTTTTTGAGTTATGTTAATCCCACAAACAAACATTACTTTTTATTTATATAGATTAGCATAGCACAATACTGGTATTATATATTACTATACTGTACTATACCACTATACACTGGGACTATGGCACAGTTGGCTGGGAGTCAGCTGCATTAAGATCACTATTGCCTGAAAGGTCATGAGTTCGAAGCCAGCCCGGGTCGGAGTGAGTTCCCGACCAACATTTTGTAGCTTGAGCCAACAATGAGATGCAACAGCTTTAAAAAGCCAATTTTGGGCTGCATCAAAATAAGTATGTCTAGATTGAGGGAAGTCATAGTGCCTTTCTATTCTGCTTTGGTTAGGCCTCATCTGGAATACGGTGTCCATTTCTGGGTCCAACAGTTCAAGAGGGATATTGACCAGCTGGAAAGTGTCCAGAGGAGGGTGAGCAAAATGAGCAAATGTCTGGAAACCATGAATCCCTATGAAGAGCAGCTTGAAAAGCTGGGTACGTTTTGCCTGCAGAAGAGAAAGTAGAGAGGAGACATGATAGCCATGTTTAAATATGTAGGAGGCTGTCAGAAGGAAGAGGGAGCAGGTTTGTTTTCTGCTACCTTGGAGACCAAAGGGTCAAATTACAGCAACATTAGCTGTGGAACTCTCTGCGTGGGAGTGTGGTGGAGGCTCCTTCTTTGGAGGCTTTTAAGCAGAGGCTGGACCATCTGTCGTGTTGTGCTTTCCTTGCACAGCAGAAGGGAGTTGGGCTGGATGGCCCTTGGGATCTCTTCCAGCTTTATGATTGTATGAAAGCAGAATTGTGTTTTCGAAAGGCTCATAGAATCATAGAATCAAATAATAGAATCATAGAATCAAAAAGTTAGAAGAGACCTCCTGGGCCATCCAGTCCAACTCCATTCTGCCAAGAAGCAGGAATATTGCATTCAAATCACCCCTGACAGATGGCCGTCCAGCCTCTGTTTAAAAGCTTCCAAGGAGCCTCCACCACACTCCGGGGCAGAGAGTTCCACTGCTGAACGGCTCTCACAGTCAGGAAGTTCTTCCTCGTGTTCAGATGGAATCTCCTCTCCTGGGCTCCTGGGACAATGATTCCATTTTATCATATGTTCACTCCCTACCACCATCTCCCTCCTTTTCAGAAATGATTCTGGGGGTGTCTTTGCACCCAGAAGTCATCAGAGGGTGCAAAACAGGGAGCAATGGAGCCCCAACTTGTTCACCCTGGCATCATGGAGAAAATAAAACTACTGTTGGATTGCTGTTGGGTTTTCCAGGCTCTGTATGGCCATGTTCCAGAAGCATTCTCTCCTGATGTTTCACCCACATCTATGGCAGGCATCCTCAGAGGTTAAGAGGTCTGTTGGAAACTAAGCAAATGACTTTATATAGTTGTGGAATAATGTCCAGGGTGGAAGAAAGAACTCTTCCCTGCTTGAGGCAAGTGTGCATGTTGCAACTGGCAACCCTGCTTAGCACTGAATAGCCTTGCAGCTTCAAAGCCTGGCTGTTTCCTGCCTGGGGGAATCCATTGTTGGGACGTGTTAACTGGCCCTAATTTGTTTCTTGCCTAGAATTCAGCTGTTTTCTGAATGTTGCTGATTTTAGAGTTTTTTTTAAATGTAGTGATTTAATGCAACTGGCTACTAACTAGCTGTGCCACAGCCCGGTCCCATTTAATGGCCTTGCAGTTTCAAGGCCTGGCTGCATCCTGCCTGGGGGAATCCTTCGTTGGGAGGTGTTAGGTGACCCTGATTTGTTTCTTGTCTGGAATTCCCCTGTTTTCTGAATGTGGCTCTTTATTTACTGTCCTGATTTGAGAATGTGGCTCTTTATTTACTGTCCTGATTTTAAATACTAGTAGCCAGATTTTGTTCATTTTCATGGTTTCCTTCTTTCTGTTGAAATTGTCCACATGCTTGTGGATTTCAATTGCTTCTCTGTGTAGTCCAGTAGTTCTCAACCTGGGGTACCCAAATGTTTTTGGCCTTCAACTCCCAAAAATCCTAACACTTGGTAAACTGGCTGGGATTTCTGGGAGTTGTAGGCCAAAAACATCTCGGTACCCCAGGTTGAGAACTACTGATGTAGTCTGACATGAAACAATAATCACCCACTAACACGTCCCAACAAAGGATTCCCCCAGGCAGGAAGCATCCAGGCTTTGAAGCTGCAAGGCCATTCAATGCTAATCAAGCTGTCCAATGCAATATTCACACTTGCCTTGACCTGAAAAGAGTTCTTTCTCCCACCTTGGACATTCCACAGATATATAAACCCCACTTGCCTAGCTTCTAACAGACCTCACAACCTATGAGGATGCCTGTCATAGATGTGGGCAAAACATCAGGAGCAAATGCTTCTCAAACATGGCCACACGGCTTGGAAAACTGACAATGAAAGCCTTTGACAACACATAAAACTACTGCTTTTTCTGCTTCTTTGTATTTGCCTGATTCATTTTTTAAAATTTTGTTTTATGATACACTAAAAAGGCAACAACAACAACAAATCCACCACATATAGACTCCAAGTCAAAAAGTCCACTGTGACCTACCCCCCCCCCCCCCCAACCTGATCTGCACGGCAGAAAAATACTTCACAACAAAACAAAAAAATATTAAAAAATACTTTTGCATTTCTTAGAAGAAAACCTACTAGGGCTAATACCTGAGAATATATCTCTGCCTGACATTCCCGAACCCAATTCTCCATTTCTGGGTTCAGGATGCTCGGGGACATATCCAGGATCATCAGGTCCAGGATCTGAGCCTTTGTGTGTTGCTCTGGCTTCGGCCACAGATGGTGGAGAGTGTGGACTCAGCTACAAACCTCTCAAGGGGTTTGTAGCTGAGTCCACAAAAAGCATTGTCCTTTTTGTCTGAGGTGGGAAAGCCCTCTCCCAGCGATGTCTGGATTGCTCCTTCCAAGAATTCCCCACTACTCACCGCATTGCAGACATCAGGGCCTCTTCCTGCTTCAGGCCAACATGCAACTGGCTCCTCCATCATTGGCCCGTGACCCAGGAAAAACTGCCTTTAAAAAGAGTGTCTCCAGCTTCTCTTTCAGGTAAAGAGTCCCTGAACAGCCTGTGCAAGGAAACCTACAAAAAGGCAAAACATTGGTCTGTTAATAAATATAATATACACCCACCAATATTGTTTTTGTTGTCAAAGGCATCCATGGCCGGAATCACTGGGTTGCTGTGATTTTTGTGGGCTGTACAGCCATGTTCCAGAAGCATTCTCTCCTGACATTTCACCCACATCTATGGCAAGCATCCTCAGAGGTTGTGAGGTCTGTTGGAAACTAAGCAAGGGAGGTTCATATATCTGTGGAAGGTCCAGGGTGGGAGAAAGAACTCTTGTATGTTGGAAGCAAGAGTGAATGGGATTGTGGCGCAGCTGGTTGAGTGTCAGCTGCATTAAGATCACTCTGACCAAAAGGTCATGAGTTCGAAGCCAGCCCGGGTTGGAGTGGGTTTCCAACCAATTGTGTGTAGCCTGTTATCGACCTTTGCAACCCGAAAGAGAGTTGCATTTGTCAAGTAGGAAAATTAGGTACCACCTTAAAGGGTGGGGAGGCTAAATTAACTAATTTATGAGGCCATAAAGAAGACTCCAGCAGAGCATTCCAGCGGGGAAGCATGCGGGAATGCGGAAGTGATTCATCAGCGTCGCAGATGGACGATGAAAGCGACAGCTCCCCTGGCGGCCAGAAAAAGTTAATTAGCCTCTGTGTATGTCTGTATATGTTTGTATGTCAAAATTGGCATTGAATGCTTGCCATATATGTGTACACTGTAATCCACCCTGAGTCCCCTGCGGGGTGAGAAGGGCGGAATATAAAAGCTGTAAATAAATAAATAAATAATGAACGTTGCCATTAATCATCTTGATTAGCATTGCTAAGCCTTGCAGCTTCAAGGCTTGACTAATTTCTGCCTAGGAAAATCCTTTGTTGGGAGGTGTTACCATACATGGTAGTCTACCGTATACCATGCAGCTGTGAATAAGTCTACATAGAGACCACCAAACACAGCATTTCCAAAACACGAATCAAGGAACACGAAAGGCACTGCAGATTAACTCAACCAGAGAAGTCAACCATACCAGAACACTTGATGAACCAACCTGGATGCAGCATATTATTTGAGAACGCAGAAATGCCTACATGTCAGACTACTGAAATCCAAAAGAAGCATGTGGACAATTTCAACATAAAGGATGAAACCATGAAAATGGACAAAATCTGGCTACCAGTATTAAAGAACTCTAAGATCGCCCTATGAGGAGCGACTTAAAGAGTTGGGCGGTCTGACCAAGGCAGAATAGAGGGATAGCTATTGGGCACCAGAACTGAAGAGAGATATTGACAGGCTGGAATGTGTCCAGAGGAGGGCGACTCAAAGGATCCAGGGTCTGGAGAACAAGCCCTATGAGGAGCGGCATAAAGAGTTGGGCGGTCTGACCAAGGCAGAATAGAGGGATAGCTATTGGGCACCAGAACTGAAGAGAGATATTGACAAGCTGGAATGCGTCCAGAGGAGGGCGACTCAAAGGATCCAGGGCCTGGAGAACAAGCCCTATGAGGAGCGGCTTAAAGAGTTGGGCGGTCTGACCAAGGCAGAATAGAGGGATAGCTATTGGGCACCAGAACTGAAGAGAGATATTGACAGGCTGGAATGTATCCAGAGGAGGGCGACTCAAAGGATCCAGGGTCTGGAGAACAAGCCCTATGAGGAGCGACTTAAAGAGTTGGACGGTCTGACCAAGGCAGAATAGAGGGATAGCTATTGGGCGCCAGAACCGAAGAGAGATATTGACAGGCTGGAATGCGTCCAGAGGAGGGCGACTCAAAGGATCCAGGGTCTGGAGAACAAGCCCTATGAGGAGCGGCTTAAGGAGCTGGGCAGTCTGACCAAGGCTGAATAGAGGGATAGCTATTGGGCACCAGAACTGAAGAGAGATATTGACAAGCTGGAATGCGTCCAGAGGAGGGCGACTCAAAGGATCCAGGCTCTGGAGAACAAGCCCTATGAGGAGCGGCTTAAAGAGCTGGGCATGTTAAGCCTGGAGGGCTCAAGTTGGGCTTAAATCTATAGGATTTCCAATGGGGGGGGCACAAAAGGGTTGACTCTGTGATTTCCCCCTTTCATCTCTCTTTTGATCCTCCCTCTCCAGTCTCTATTTGGGAGGAATCCCTTTCTTTCTCCTTTTGAATTGATTAGCTTCTTGGCTCCTCTCGCTTCAGGCCCCCTTCCCTCTTCCTTTTGGGGGAAACCAGGAAGCCTTTCCCCTTCTGCTTCGTCCAGCAAAGGCCCTTCTTACCAGCACTCCTCCACCTCGCTCCTGAATTTGAGGGTGGATGACTTTACCCGGAGCTAATGGCGACGGTGGCTGTTTCTGAAGGGGGGGATCCCTTTTCGCGTGGCACCGCTGCTCTCCCTCCCTTTCCCTCCGCATCCCTTTGCTTTGATTGGTGCTCCCCGTCACGTGACTGGAGCCCAAGCCAAGAAGCGCCCAGGCAAAGCCAGGCTTCACTCAGAAGGCAGGCAAAGAATTGGAAGAGACCTCATGGGCCATCCAGTCCAACCCCCTGCCAAGAAACAGGAATATTGCATTCAAATCACCCCTGACAGATGGCCATCCAGCCTCTGTTTAAAAGCTTCCAAAGAAGGAGCCTCCACCACACTCCGGGGCAGAGAGTTCCACTGCTGAACGGCTCTCACAGGAAGTTCTTCCTCATGTTCAGATGGAATCTCCTCTCTTGTAGTTTGAAGCCATTGTTCCGCGTCCTAGTCTCCAAGGAAGCAGAAAACAAGCTTGCTCCCTCCTCCCTGTGGCTTCCTCTCACATATTTATACATGGCTATCATATCTCCTCTCAGCCTTCTCTTCTTCAGGCTAAACATGCCCAGCTCCTTAAGCCGCTCCTCATAGGGCTTGTTCTCCACACCCTTGATCATTTTAGTCACCCTCCTCTGGACACATTCCAGCTTGTCAATATCTCTTGAATTGTGGTGCCCAGAATTGGACACAATATTCCAGGTGTGGTCTAACCAAAGCAGAATAGAGGGGTAGCATTACTTCCCTAGATCTAGACACTATGCTCCTATTGATGCAGGCCAAAATCCCATTGGCTTTTTTTGCCGCCACATCACATTGTTGGCTCATGTTTAACTTGTTGTCCACGAGGACTCCAAGATCTTTTACACGTACTGCTCTCGAGCCAGGCATTGCCCCCCATTCTGTATCTTTGCATTTCATTTTTCCTGCCAAAGTGGAGTATCTTGCATTTGTCACTGTTGAACTTCATTTTGTTAATTTTGGCCCATCTCTCTAATCTGTCAAGATCGTTTTGAATTCTGCTCCTGTCCTCTGGACTATTGGCTATCCCTCCCAATTTGGTGTTTTCTGCAAACTTGATGATCCTGCCTTCTAACCCTTCATCTAAGTCATTAATAAGATGTTGAACAGGACCGGGCCCAGGAAGTTAGTGAAGGTACTGCAAGGCCCATCATCCACTGTCCATCCTCCCCCAAACCTCACCAGGACATAAAGGGGGTCATGGGGGTTATGTTTGCCAAGTTTGGTCTTGATCAGTCATTGGATGAGGTTCGCAGCGATCTTGGGAAGTGAGTGGAAGTACTTCAAGTCCCATCGTCCATGGTCCATCCTCCTCCATATAGCACCAGGATGTAAAGGGGGTCATGTGGTTTCTGCGTCCCAAGTTTGGTCTTGATCAGTCATTGGAAGAGGTTTGCAGCGGTCTTGGGAAGTGAGTGGAGGTAATCCCATCATCCATGGTCCATCCTCCTCCATATGAAGTCGAGCACCCCTCCCCCCAAAATAAGGGATAGTGACTTATAGTTCTGCAAAGGGCAAGGACACCATATTGCACAGTAGGGGTTAAGTCTTGGTCACATTGCCAAGGCACTAACAACAACAAGGACCCCACGAGACTTTTGGGGAACGGCTGGATCTTGGGACTTCTGCCCTTCATGAGAGTTGTCGTTTCCCAAGGACCAGCTTCGATCCCAGCGTGGCAGAATTCCACCCAATGGCTCAGTGGGAAATCAACAGACTTTCCTTTTGGGGCTTTAAGAGCTCTGCCTAATGTTTTGGACTCGCAAGGACATCTTTCCCACTCATGAACTTCCCTCAAAATGAACCATGAACTCATATTGCTTGAAAATAATTTCTTTATCAAATTTCTTTGGCAGGGTGGGATGGGGAAGGAGATATTTGATATGAATTTCTGTGGATTTCTGTATTCCCCCATGTATTCTCCTTATTCTTGCCCTGACACCCAAACCTATCACTCCTTCCCCCTCCCCTTGGGTAAATCAATCCAGGAAGCGGCCAGCTGTTGAAGGGGCAATCAGAGGCAACAAAAGAAACTCATATCCCAGAACTCTGGCGAGGACAATAAGACCTGGGATCCCTATGTGGCTCCAGGATTAAGGCCATCAGGCTATATAATCCAGAGCAGATAATCTGGATTTTATATGGCAGTGTGGAAGGGGCCTGAGTTGTTAATAGCTGCTTCCCCATGGTCAAGCTTGCAGACCAGAACTTCCTCCTGCACCTTACTTGAAAGACTGGGATAAACCGGTACATATGTGTGAGAATAAGAGAGCAATGACCCATGTCCTTTAAGTAACCCGTTTCCCCCCTTTCTATCATACAATTAAGCCAGAGAACAGGAATAGACATAGAAGGGGAAACTTTAGAGCAGTCATGGGCAAACTTCGGCCCTCCCTCCTTCCAGATGTTTTGGACTTCCACAACTCCTAACAGCCAGTAGGCTGTTAGGAATTGTGGGCATTGAAGACCAAAACAGCTGGAGGGAGGGCCGAAGTTTTCCCATGCCTGCTTTAGAGGGAGGATGTGCCAGAAGGAGAAATCTTCCACAAGCATTTAGCCATTCTTATTGATAGCCACCTTCTGGGGCTATACTAGAATAAACACAACCACAAAAGTAAGATTTAAAATTTAGGAAAGGTTAGCATATATTTCTGGTTACATGTATTTTTAACATCCTAATGGTGTGCAATAATTTTATTTAATACTTACATGTACCACTTGATATAATTGCAGAAATGCTGAAAATCCTTTGGCGACATAACTGGATTGCTAAACAATGAAACAGAGAACCAGGCTTGCAACCAGTATTTATTCAGCAAATGATCAAAAAAAGACAAAGAATGGACACATAGCAAATAACATGGTTTTCCAGCCATACGACATCAAAAATCCCAGCCAGGGATACTCCTAGCCCGTTGGAAATGAGACGGTGAAAAAAGGACTCTGCCTCTGCTGGGTGGGATTACACTCCCTCTGAAACCTTGGGTATAAAGCTTGAATATATTAAATATAGAGTAATCATATACGCCGCTCTGAGTCGCCTCCGGGATGATATGAGCGGGGTAGAAATAATGCAAATAAATAAATAAATAGAATAATCAAGTTGGAAGAGACCACATGGACCATCTAGTTCAACCCGCTGCCATGCAGGAAAAAACCCAAAGTATTCCTGGACTTTGATTTGAGACTTTGATGGCCAGGAGTCCAATCTGGTGCACCAGCGATGCCTGTTTCTTGACATTCACAGTTCCTCATTTGATACCATATTTGCTAAGCAAGGCAGTAGGAGCAAGATGTCAAATTTTAAGTAGACCCAGGTATTTTCACCAGAGTAATTAAATTTTTAGGGAGAAAATATAACTATTGAGCAGGTACCGAAAAATAATAATTCTCTCGTTTTTCTTAAACTGCTCGAGGGCAGGGCGACTTCCCATGGACAACAAGTTAAACATGAGCCAACAATGTCGTACGGTGGCAAAAAAATAAAAAAAAAGGATTTTGGCCTGCATAAACAGAGGTCTAGTGTCTAGATCCAGGAAAGTCATGCTCCCCATCTATTCTGCCTTGGTTAGACCACATCTGGAATACGGTGTCCAATTCTAGGCACCACAACTGAAGGGAGATGTTGACTCTAAGCTGGAATGTGTCCAGAGAAGGGCGATGTCACGTTGCCAGGGCTCTGCCGTATTCAGGTAGAGATGAACCAAACAAATTCACACTAACTTTCTGGCTCAGTGGTTCTCAACCTGGGGTCCCCAGATGTTTTTGGCTTACAACTCCCAGAAATCCCAACCAGTTTACCAGCTGTTAGGATTTCTGGGAATTGAAGGCCAAAAACATCTGGGGAAACCAGGTTGAGAACCACTGTTCTGGCTGTTTTAGTTAAATTGTTTAACTCAAACTCTGAATCTGTTTGGTTCATCTCTACCTGAATACAGCAGAGCCCTGGCAAGGTGACAAAATACTTTTCTGCCTTATACCCAGAAACACTTAGCTGCAACCCATCTCTTGCATACCTCCACCCTTAATTGCTTTCACCCATGAACTCTTACTAACAGATTATTCAACCCTTAGAAGTAAGACCCTTAGAAGTAGCCCTTCCATCACCAACTGCTAGGCCTGCCACCACCCACCAACATCAACTGCAGAACATGATACATGACAGGCGACTAAAATGATCCAGGGTCTGGAGAACAAGCCCTATGAGGAGTGGCTTAAAGAGCTGGGCATGTTTAGCTTCTGAAGAGGACTGAGAGGAGATATGATAGCCATGTATAAATACATGAAAGGAAGTCATAGGGAGGAGGGAGCAAGCTTGTTTTCTGTTGCCCTGGAGACAAGGACGCAGAACAATGGCTTCACACTGCAAGAAAGGAGATTCCACCTGAACATTCCACCTGAACATTATCTGACTGTAAGGAGAGTTGTTCTGCAGTGGAACTCTCTACCCCGGAGTGTAGTGGAGGCTCCTTCTTTGGAGGTTTTTAAGCAGAAGCTAGATGGCCATCTGTCAGGGGTGCTTTGAATGTGATTTTCCTGCTTCTCAGCACGGGGTTGGACTGGATGGCCCATGAGGTCTCTCCCAACTCTATGATTCTATGAAATTATTTCCATGGTCAAGAAGAAGTGTGTAGCTCTCATCTTCCAATGAGATGGCAATTCAACAGGCTATTCCAGAACATCCCTTATCTCTAAATGCTTTCAGGGACAGGATGGGTTATACAGTCATTGTAGAAATAAATTATGCTATGGATTGTGTTTCCTGAGATATTAGTACAGTTGAAGTGTATCTGAAAAGGGCTCCCTAACTTCTCATTAAATCAGAGTGACATCTCCCTGGTGGCACACTCTAGAAAGTACAGCTATAGGTCTACATCTTTCACTGCCATATATATTTTTGAATCATGAAATACACAGCAACAGGAAGGCAGGAAGGAAGAGTAGCAACACCAATCATCTCATTCAAGAAGCATATATGTTAAAATAAATGATTTACATATGTTGTTGTTTATTCATTCAGTCGCTTCCAATTCTTCATGACCTCCTGGGCCAGCCTATGCCAGAGCTTCCTGTTGACCGTCACCACCCCCAGCTCCTTCAGAGTCAAGCCAGTCACTTCGAGGATACCATCCATCCATCCATCTTGCCCTTGATCAGCCCCTCTTCCTTTTTCCTTCTATTTTTCCCAGTATCATTGTCTTCTTCAAGCTTTCCTGTCTTCTCATGATGTGGCCAAAGGACTTCATCTTTGCCTCCAATATCCTTCCCTCCAATGAGCAGTCAACATTATTTCCTGGAGTATGGACTGTTTGGATCTTCTTGCGGTCTATTAAGGTTGGAAGAATACCTGTAACATTGGAACACCACCTGGTGTCTTAATATGATTACAATAGAAATTACAAGAGTTGAATGAAAAGTAATGCCTCCACCTTCGTAACTCCTCAACAGATGGCAGTACTGGCATGCAGCAGATACTGGATTGTTCAGTAGACTCTTCTCTACAGTTTCATTTTGGCAGGAAGCCATAGCATTGAATGGTTGTGTTGTTAAAGTGTGAAGTATGGAATCCTGCGTAGACGGTCGGTCAATGCGACTTAAGCAACGTGCAGTCATTGAATTCTTGACAGCAGAAGGTGTCACCTCAACATTTTTTAACTTACTTGCCCAACGACACACAGTACTCACATCAACACAATCACGCATTCTCTGATGAATCTTCTTTGGGGTGACACCTTCTGCTGACAAGAATTCAATGACTGCATGTTGCTTAAGTCACATTGACCAACCGTTTACGCAGGGTTCCATACTTCGCACTTTAACAACACAACTATTCAATGCTAAGGCTTCCCGTCAAAATGGAACTGTAGAGGAAAGTCTACTGAACAAGCCAGTAGCTGCTGCATACCAGTACTGCCACCTGTTGAGGAGTTGCGAAGGTGGAGGCATTACTTTTCATTCAACCCTCGTACATAGAAAGTATGACTTATGTATCTTAAAAATATGAGGAACTAATTACTTCAGCACACATCAGCAATGAAAGGAGAAACTGCTGACCAACACAGGGTCACAGAGGATAGTGGAGTATGACCTGAACACGCGAAACAAGCTGACTCCGAGTTTTCAACTAATTATCAAAATGATTAAGATGTTTTTCTGTGCAATAATAATTAATTATTGTTAACAAGTTATGTAAGCAATTTTGTATAAATATGGCCATGTTCCAGAAGCATTCTCTCCTGACGTTTTGCCTGCATCTATGGCAGGCATCCTCAGAGATTTCCTAGTTTCCAAGAGACCTCACAACCTCTGAGGATGCCTGCTATAGATGCAGGCAAAACGTTGGGAGAGAATGCTTCCAGAACATGGCCATACAGCCCAAAAAACCTACAACAACCCAACAGATATGAATTCTCTGATGCTTCATATGGTATGCTTTTCCGCACTCCTGACATTTGTAGTTTCCCTGTGTGGTTCACAAAGATGCAAAATGGATTCAAAACATTTGCCACACTCCCAAATGTTTATAGTTCCTCTATATGGGTTTTCTGGTGGCTCATAAGGCTTCTTTTTTGAACAAAATCTTTCCCACATTCATAGCACTAATATGCTTTCTCTCCCGTGTGAATCCTCTGGTGGCGTAAAAGGTGTGTATTCCAAGCAAAACATTTCCCGCAATCCTGGCATTTATATGGTTTCTCTCCGGTGTGTATCCTCTGGTGCTTCACAAGATCGTCCTTTTGACCAAAACGTTTCTCACACATCTCACATTTGTATGGTCTGTTTCCCGTGTGGTTGCTCTGATGCCGCACAAGTTGTGAATTCTGATAAAAGCATTTGCCACACTGTTGACATGTGTATAGTTTCTCCCCTGTGTGGATTTTCTGATGCCTCACAAGGACCGAACTCCAAGAAAAACATTTCCCACACTCCTGGCATGTGTATGGTTTCTCTCCTGTGTGGATTCTCTGGTGGCTTATAAGGTGTGAACCCCGAGCAAAACATTTGCCACATTCCAGGCATGTGTATGGTTTTTCTCCTGTGTGGATTCTCTGGTGGCTTACAAGGTTTGAATCCCGAGCAAAACATTTGCCACATTCCAGGCAAGTGTGTGTTTTTTCTCCTGTGTGAACTCTTTGGTGGATCAAAAGACCTGAAGGCTCAGTGAAACATTTCCCACACTCCTGGCATTTGTGTTGTTTCTCTCCTGTGTGGGTTCTTTGATGGTGCTTTTCAGGGTCTGCTTTTACAAGAAAGCAGTTGTCACACTCCTGACATTCACAGGACTTTTCGCCTGTGTGGGTTCCCTGATGCCTCACAAGATGCAACTTGTAACCAAAACCTTTCCCACACTCCTGGCAATTGTATGGTTTCTCTCCTGTGTGGACTTTCTGATGTCCGAGAAGAGAAGAACGCTGAGGAAAACATTTCCCACACTTCTGGCACTTGTACGGCTTCTCCCCGGTGTGCATCCTCTGATGAATCACAAGCCATGCCTTCCGAGCAAAGCATTTCCCGCACTCCTGGCATTTGTAGGGTTTCTCTCCTGTGTGCACTCTTTGGTGGATTAAAAGGGCGGAATTCCCAGAAAAACGTTTCCCACACTCCTGGCATTTATGTCGTTTCTCTCCTGTGTGGACTCGATGGTGCTTCATGAGGTCCGCTTTTAAAAGAAAACATTTTCCACACTCCTGACATTTGTAGGGTTTCTCACCTGTGTGGATTCCCTGATGTCTCCTAAGATGCGACCTACAACCAAAAAACTTGCCACATTCCTGGCATTTGTGGGGTTTCTCTCCCGTGTGGACTCTTTGATGGCCTAGAAGAGAAGAACTCTGAGGAAAACATTTCCCACACTGTTGACATTTGTAGGGTTTCTCGCCTGTGTGGATTCTCAGATGCCTCTTAAGATGTGACTTGCAACCAAAACATCGGCCACATTCCTGGCATTTGTGGGGTTTCTCTCCTGTGTGGACTCTCTGATGGTTTAGAAGAGAAGAACTCTGAGGAAAACATTTTCCACACTCCAGGCATCTGAAGGGTTTTTCTCCTGTGTGCACTTTCAGATGTGTCAGAAGTAGAGAATTGTAAGCAAAACTTTTGCCACACACCTGGCATTGGTGTGGTTTCTTTGCTGAGCAGGTTTCTGGGTGGTTCACATTGTAGAATTTATAATCAAGAGGAACTCCATATGTAAAATGTTTCTTTTCAGTATGGACCGTCTCCTGAGGCACAAGGGCTGGATCTTGCAGATAACATATCAGAGAGGAATCTTCTCTGAGATAATGTTCCTCTTCTGTACCTTGGACTTGCTGATGGCTGCTAAGGTCCAGGTTATACCTCAAACTTTTTCCGTACTGAGCACAGACATACGTGTTCTGCCAGTTTTCTGCTGGGAAAAAAACCAATACAAATATTTTCCAAATTTGTGTGAAAAAGAATTTCAAGATTAAGTATTAAAAGTTAAACAATAATAAAATCAAATGAATCCGCAGAGAAAAACGAGGATGCCTTTTCTCCTCTTATAGCTCAAGGGGCCGGGCTTTAGCACAGCTGGTAAATCACCAGCAGCAGTAAGCTTGCCAGTTCAAAGCCTGGGTCGGGGTGAGCACCTGACAGTCAGCCCAGTTCAAAGCCTGGGTCGGGGTCAGCACCTGGGTCAGGGTGAGCACCTGACAGTCAGCCCAGCTTACTGTCCACCTAAGCAGTTCGAAATCAGCTTGAGAGCTGTAAGTAGAGAAATTAGGCACCATTTAAAGCGGGGAATGTATTTTACGGCACCACAAAAAGAAATACCAGAAATTCTGGTGACCAAAAGGAAGGAAGAAGTCTATGATGGCTCTTTTTCCTGGTGGATGGAGCAACGGCACCCCCCAGTGGCCGAAATTGAGCACAACCTCCAGAGCGCCAAAGCTGGATGCCGACACAACATACCTCTGTTTGTCTGTTTGTCCTGTCTGTTTCAGCAGCATTGAATATTTGCCATGTATGTGTTCTGTGATCCGCCCTGAGTCCCCTTGGGGAGATAGGGCGGAATATAAATAAAGTTTATTAAGCATATTATTATTATTATTACATACTTTATTTATGTTTTGCCCTATCTTCCCAAGTATATTATTATTATTATTATTATTATTATTATTATTATTATTATTACTACTACTACATTATTTATTTGCAGTTTCTCAAGTTTCTCCTGACATGAAAATAATAATAATAATCATCATCATCATCATCATCATCATAACAACAACAATAATAATTACTATTATCATTACAGCTTATGTCCAGACTATCTGAAAGCTATCTCCCCATCAAACTTGATTAAATCTTATCTCTGGTGAGGGCTTCCTTCCACTGAACATCCTCTTAAACTTGGCTGGTGAGAACATGACAAGACAGTCTTACCTAGAAAGGTGATGATCTCATGGATCTCTGCCGTGATTTGCTTGTACAGGGCTTTCTGGTCAGGTTCTAACAGGGACCACTCTTCCGGAGAAAAAGACACAGCAACCTCATCAAAGGTCAACAGACTCTAGAGAAAAAAAAAGTCCTGACTCACACCAAAACCAAACTCACGGTCTGATAAGGATCCAAAGGCAGCCAGCGTGAAGTGTATTCTTCCACAAACACCAACCTGAGCATCATGGATGAGTTCTGACAAACACAGAAGCTAGGGTAATTTTTTTTGGAGCCCCCAATGGTTAAACCTTTGTGCTGTCAAGACTGAAGACCAATAGGTCACAGGTTCAAATCTGGACATAGTGTGGATGAGCTCCCTCTATCAGCTCCAGCTCCCCATTATGGGGACATGAGAGAAGCCTCCCACAAGGATGAGAAAACATCAAAACATCCAGATGTCCCCTGGGCAACGTTTTTGCAGATTCTCTCACACCAGAAGTGACTAGCCGTTTCTCAAGTCGCTCCTGACATGGGAAAAAAAAACACAGCACACAAATAATAATAATAACAATAATAATAATAACAAGTCAAGAACAAGCCATTAGAACAAATGCCATTAGAGCCAGAATTGAAAAGTCGACAACAGATCCCAAATGTAGACTCTGCAAGGAAGCAGATGAAACAATAGATCACATCCTCAGCTGCTGCAAGAAGATCGCGCAGACAGACCACAAGCAGAGGCATAACACTGTTGCTCAGATTATTCATTGGAACTCGTGCCACAAATACCATCTGCCTGCGACAAAGAACTGGTGGGATCACAAGCCTGAAAAAGTTACAAAAAATGAACACTTCAAACTACTCGGTGACTTCCAAATTCAAACTGACAGAGTTTTGGAGCACAATACTCCTGACCTCAAGATCGTGTTAAAAAACAGAGTGTGGATCGTCGATGTTGCAATCCCAGGCGACAGCAGGATTGAAGAGAAACAACTGAAAAAGCTGACACAATATGAGGATTTAAAAATCGAAACTGCAAAGACTCTGGTACAAACCAGTCAAGATGGTTCCAGTGGTGATCAGCACACTGGGTGCAGTGCCTAAAGACCTTGGCCTGCACTTAAACACAATCAGTGCTGACAAGATTACCATCTGCCAGATGCAAAAGGCCACCCTACTGGGATCTGCACGCATTATTTGCTGATACATCACACAGTCCTAGACACTTGGGGAGTGTCCAACACGTGATCCAATACAACAGCCAGCAGAGTGACCTTGTCTGTTGTGGACTCATCTTGTTGTGTTTCTAATAATAATAATAATAATAATAATAATAATAATAATAATAATCTTTATTTATACTCCGCTACCATCTACCCAAAGGGGACTCGGGGTGGTTAACATGAGGCCAAGCCCAATTTACAATACAGCAACGTAAAATACAAACAAACAAATAATAACATCAAAATAAAAAATACATAAAATAACAGAATATACAATAAACAAACCCCCTCCCAAAACATATCTTGCCATGAAAACCATGTGAGAGGCTTACCACAATATCCTAAATTGGGAAATACTGAAAGGCACACCACAACAACCCTAACAAAGGCGAAAGGAGGGAAGGCAGCCAAACCTCATCCCTTCCAGTAGACTCTGGCAAAAGCCAACTGTGCTACATCTCTTAGTTTACATGTACTTCTTTAAGGATAACCTAATCCATCATGGTAGCAGTCTACAAGCCACTCTAAACACCTTTGCAGAAGCATACAAGAAGCTCGTCCTGTCATTGAACATCGAGAAAACCAAAGTGCTGTTCCAGCAGACACCAACCAACCCCTCTCCAATGCCAGAGATACAGCTTAATGGTGTAACATTAGAAAATGTTGACCATTTCCACTACCCTGGCAGCCACCTCTCCACCAGAGTCAACATCGACTCCGAAATACAACATCGCCTGAGCTCTGTAATGCAGCATTTTTCCGAATGAAGTAGAGAGTGTTTGAGGACTGGGACATCTGTAGGGATACCAAGGTGCTTGTTTATAAAGCTATTGTCCTTCCAACCCTGCTACATGCCTGCGAAACGTGGACTGTCTACAGACGCCACATGCAACTCCTGGAACGATTCCATCAGCGCTGCCTCTGGAAAATCCTACAAATCTCTTGGGAAGACAAGCGGACAAACATCAGTGTGCTGGAAGAAGCAAAGACCACCAACATTGAAGCGATGGTCCTCCGCCATCAACTCCGCTGGACCGGCCACATTGTCTGGATGCCCGACCACCGTCTCCCAAAGCAGCTGCTCTACTCTGAACTCAAGAACGGAAAACATAATGTTGGAGGACAGGAAAAGAGATTTAAAGATGGGCTCAAAGACAACCTTAAAAAATCTGGCACAGACACTGAGAACTGGGAAGCCCTGGCCCATGAGTGCACCAGCTGGAGGTCAGCTGTGACCAACAGTGCTGCAGAATTTAAAGAGGCACGAATGGAGGGTGAAAGAGAGAAACGTGCCAAGAGGAAGGCGTGTCAAGCCAACCCTGACCAGGACCATTTTCCTCCAGGAAACAGATGCCCTCACTGCAGGAGAAGATGTATGTCAAGAATAGGGCTCCACAGCCACCTACGGATCCACAAGAATACTGATCCTGGAAGACTGTCCTACTCGTCCAACGAGGGATTGCCTAAGTAAGTAACAGTCTGATGTTTCTTAGTCAAATGTCCTAATTTTAATTTTCATCTGTGAAATGATATGAGGTACTGGAGATATGTGAAGAATGAAACAACTACATTTTGGGTGCACATTTAATCAATCTGAAAACAAATATCCACTTAAAAAAATCAAATAGAAAACAGAAACAAAATATTCCCATCACATAGAGAGGGTTGTGAAAGAGGAATCCAGACTGCTCAAATCCAGTTTTCCCAGAAAACCTTCTCCTTACCTGATCTGGATCTGCTTCGTCACAAAGAAAAGGAGGAGACAACTGGAGCCTCATTCCAGGCTCTGTGAAAGAGACCAAAAAGGGGGAGAAGTTTGTCACATACGCTTCTGTCAGTTACAGTCTTTTGGAAATGCTATCTAGAAAGCGCAGGCATATCTCAGCAAAGACAAAGAAATTCCTTTCACAAAAGTATTTTATGCCAGCCCGGGCCCCCATTTCTTCTGCAGCATATGCACTGGAAGGACAGCGAAAGAGCGTTTTCAATGTATGGTTGCAGCAACAGGTCTAAAGTAAACAACACAATAAATCTTTAGATGAAAAGCAACAGGATTAAACTGTAAAATCATAGGATCATAGAGGTGGAAGAGACCTTGTGGGCCATCCAGTCCAACCCCATTCTGCCAAGAAGCAGGAAAATCACATTCAAACCACCCCCGACAGATGGCCATTCGGCTTCTGTTTAAAAGCCTCCAAAGAAGGAGCCTCCACCACATTCTAGGGCAGGGAGTTCCACTGCTGAACAGCTCTTTCTCACAGTCAGAAAGTTCTTCCTCATGTTCAGGGTTTTGTAATATGTTTTAAATGTAATTCATGTATTGCCAATATGGATGCCACATAGAGTGTAATGCTGTGCTGAATTGTTTATCTTTGAGGCTGTGATTGAGTAGTCTCTGAGATAAGCTCTCTACTGAGTTGTGTGAGAAATTTAGGGAGTTACCCGTTTGCAGCAGAAGAATCAAGCAGCTGCAAAGTCTGTTTTGACTATTAGTTTCCTGTGTGTTTTCTCCATGCTTAGATGCTTGCTGTAATAGACGTGCTTTTGCTTTGTGCTTAGTAAACTTGAATTTGCTTGTATCCTGACATCTCCAGAGTCCATGATTTTGAGAGCTGTATCTGGTGAACCTGGCAGAGCTTCTGTGGAAAGGCATTTAAGCCTGACAGAATCTCCTTTCTTGTAGTTTGAAGCCATGGTTCCATTGCATCCTAGTCTCCAGGGCAGCAGAAAACAAGCTTGCTCCCTCCTCCCTGTGGCTCCCTCTCACATATTTATATATGGCCCTCATCATGTCTTCGCTCAGCCTTCTCTTCTGCAGGCTAAACATGCCCAGCTCTTTAAGCCGCTCCTCATAGGGCTTGTTCTCCAGACCCTTGATCCTTTGAATTGCCCTCCTCTGGACACATTCCAGCTTAGAGTCAACATCTCCCTTCAATTGTGATGCCCAGAATTGGACACAGTGTGATTTCAGGTGTGGTCTGACCAAGGCAGAATTCAAAGTGCTGGCTTTAGCCTATAAAGCCCTAAATCAGGGGTCCTCAAACTTTTTAAACAGAGGGCCAGGTCACAGTCCCTCAAACAATTGGAGGGCCAGATTATAATTTGAAAAAAAAATCGAATGAATTCCTATGCACACTGCACATATTATATTTGTGGTCCAAAACAAACACTTAAAAGCAATACAATAATTAAAATGAAGAGCATTTTTAACAATATATAAACATATTAGTATTTCAGTGGAAAGTGTGGGCCTGCTTTTGTCTGATGAGATATGGTTGTTGTTGTTGTTGTTGTTGTTGTTGTTGTGTGCTTTCAAGTCATTTCAGATTTAGGTTGACACTTAGCAAGGGCTGGGTAAATGACCTTAGAGGGCCATATCCGCCCCCCGGGCCTTAGTTTGAGGACCCTTGCCCTAAATGGTTCCGGCCCAGCTTATCTATCTGAATGTATCTCCCCTTACGAACTTACCAGGAATTTAAAATCATCTGGGGAGGCCCTGCTCTTGATCCCGCCTGCATCGCAAGTGCGTTTGGCGGGGACGAGAGGCAGGGCCTTCTCAGTGGTGGCCCCTCAGCTGTGGAACTCCCTAGTGATATTAGATTGGCCCCCTCTCTCCTGACCTTTCGGAAAGGAGTGAAAACCTGGCTCATTGAGCAAGCTTTTGGATCCGCAGTGTAATCTTATAAACACAACACTATGAAATAGCGAACATGGAATGGCTAAACGATGCAAAGGATAAGGAGATGAATGGGAAGATATTAATTATTATAGTTTTAATTGATTTCAATATGGAACTGATTTTTATATGGATTTTACTATGTATTTTTAACTGTTTAATCAATGTGTGTATGTGTGGCATTCGATTGCTGCCAGTTTGTACGCTGCCCTGAGTCGCCTTCGGACTGAGAAAGGTGGGGTAGAAGTGCGGTAAATAAATAAATAAATATTTATACATGGCCCTCATCATGTCTCCTCTCCACCTTCTCTTCTGCACACTAAACATGCCCAGCTCTTCAAGCCGCTCCTCATAGGGCTTGTTCTCCAGACCCTTGATCCTTTGAGTCGCCCTCTTCTGGACACATTCCAGCTTAGAATCAACATCCCCCTTCAATTGTGGTGCCCAGAATTGGACACAGTGTGATTCCAGGTGTGGTCTGACCAAGGTAGAATAAAGGGGCAGCATGAACACTAGACTCTTAATGATACCGGCCAAAATCCCATTGGCTTTTTTTGCCGCTGCATGACATTGTTGGCTCATGTTTCACTTATTGTCCACGAGGACAATAAGTTAAATTGGAGATTAACAACAACTTGAAGTCACACTACAAGACTAAAGAGACCTGCAGGATTCTAGACACGGACTGCTCATTCTTACCTTGCATGAGATCCCATCCATCATCCTCCTGCTTGATGACCCTCCATTGGAGGATCTGCCTGGTGTCCACGGAAGCCTTTGCTGCCGAAGGGAATTCAGAGGGATCTGCTTCCAAGAGATTTCTCTCCTGAAAAGAGAACTGGGAGAAGGATGAGAAAATGGCTAAAGACTCTGTAGAAGTCCAACTGCGTTAGGAAAAGGTCAGCAAATCATTGGTCCTACTTTAAAAAGTGGCATGGAAGATAACACCTCAACAAGGTGGGAGACACTTACATTTATATTTTGTATACGATATATGCTGAAAAGATAAACAATCCCACTGAATCCATAGCAAGATTATATAAAGTTAGAATCAAAGGGCCCTTCCACACAGCCGTAATACCCAGAATATCAGGGGTATCCCACAGAATCTTTTTGAACGGACTTATCTGAGTCTATATTGCCATATATTCCACTTCAAAGCAGATAGTCTAACTCCCTGCCATGCAAGAAAAGCACAATCAAAGTACCCCTGACAGATAGCTATCCAGCCTCTGTTTAAAAGCTTCCAAGGAAGGAGCTTCTACCAGACGATGAGGCAGAGAGTTCCACTCCTGAACAGTTCTTACAGTCAGGAAGTTCTTCATGTGCAGGTGCACTCTCTTTTACTGTACTTTGAAGCCATTGTTCTATTGCAGTGGTTCTTACCCTGTGGGTCCCGAGGTGTTTTGGCCTACAACTACCAGAAACCACAACCATTTTACCCGCTGTTAGGATTTCTGGGAGTTGAAGGCCAAAACATCAGACTGAATGACTGAACAACAACCCTCCTTATCCACATTCTGTAAAGAATTGAAGACGTGGGTGTTTCATTGCACTTTTGATTGACGATTCCTGATAGATGGCTCCTAACCATGACCTGAACTCAGTTCCTATATTTGATTACTATATTTTAAGCTAAGCTGTAATGATCAATCCTTTTATAATTGCTCTATTCCTATTCTACTATTTGTTCCATCCTCCTTTTTTGACCAACCTATCCTTTAACTCGTTTTGCATATTTATCCCCTCCCCCAAAAATTAGATTAGAGGGATCTATGTTGTTGCTTATGATATTTGCTTTTATTGTTTATGATGATATTGTTTTTATGCTGTTTTATATTTTATTGTTCTGTTTTTAACTGTATGTTGTCTGGGCATGGCCCCATGTAAGCTGCCCCGAGTCCTTTCAGGGGATGGAGGCGGGGTAGAAAAATAAAGTAGTAGTAGTTGTTGTTATTATTATTATTATTATTATTATTATTATTATGATTATGATTATGATTATGATGATGATGATGATGATGATGTCTGGATTGCTTCCTCCCAGAATTCCCCACTACTCACCACATTGCAGGTATCAAGGCCCCTTCCTGTTTCAGACCAACATGGTTCCTCCATCTTTGGCCTCCTCTCTTTCAGGGTAAAGAGTCTCTATGCTATGCAAGGAAACCTACAAAGGCAAGACATTGGTCTGTTAATAACTTCACTCCACCAGGTGTTTTGGACTCCAACTCCCTCAACTCCAACTCCCAGCCAGTAGACTGTTAGGAATTGTGGGAGTTGGAGTCCAAAACACCTGGAGGGAAGGCCCAAGTTGGCCCAGGCCTGGTGTAGATGCACCCCATCTTCTATATAAATAAAAATGTAATGTTCGTTTGTGGGATTAAGATAACTCAAAAACCACTGGACGAATTGACACCAAATTTGGACACAATACACCTATCAGACTATCAAGTGACCATCATACATAAAAAGCAGTAAACCAAACATAATGATAGTGAGCGGGCCACATGTACATAAAATGATTTAAAAACTCAGAGTGAGATAAAGGAGCAGAATTATTTGTAAGGGAGAACTCGTAGAGAGACAGGATGATAGACAAACCTTCGTACGGGGTGTCTGCGTGTGTGTGTACTCCTAGGACAAGAACGTTGAGGGGAGCAATATCTTAAGATTGTGTGACTACTCTCCGAAAGCGCAACGGCAGAGCCAGGTCTTGAGATTCTTTTTAAAGGTTTCTAAGGTAGGGACTTTCCTAATCTCTCTGGGCAATGAGTTCCAGAGTCGGGAGGCCACAGAGGAGAAGGCTCTCTCCCTTGTACCCAGAAGGCAAGTCTGAGAAACTGGCAAGGGCGAAAGGAGGGTGTCCTCCGAAGATCGAAGGGTACGGCCTGTTTCATGGAGAGAGATACGGTCACGAAGGTAGGCGGGTCCCAAACCGTTCAGGGCTTTATAGGTGATGAACTGCACCTTTAATTGGGACCAGAAAATGAATGGCAGCCAATGGAGCTCCTTAAACGGGGGTGTAGATCACTCCCTGTAAGTTGTAAGTACGTGTGAAAAAGATCTTGGGAGTCCTCGTGGACAACAAGTTAAACATGAGCCGACAATGTGATGTGGCGGCAAAAAAAGCCAATGGGATTTTGGCCTGCATCAATAGGAGCCTAGTGTCTAGATCTAGGGAAGTCATACTACCCCTCTATTCCGCTTTGGTTAGACCACACCTGGAATATTTATTTATTTATTTATTTACTTTGCTTCTATACCGCTGTATCTCAAGCCCGAAGGCGACTCACAGCGGTTCACAAACAGTAAAAACAGTAGAAACAGCAGTGGTTCCATACAACATATAACAATTGACTTAACACATTATCCATAAATTACCAATAAGCAATTACAATGCACAATTATTACAAAAAACAACCGTACCCAATCTTCTCATCATCCAAGCGTAGTCCAGATTCGTCGTCCATTGTTCCATTCCTATGTTCCATTACCAGATTGTACTAAATTACTCAAACGCCTGCACAAACATCCAGGTCTTCACCTTTTTGCGGAATACCATTAGAGATGGTGCTAGTCTAATGTCCGTAGGAAGGGCGTTCCACAGCCGAGGAGCCACCACCGAGAAGGCCCTATCTCTCGTCCCCGCCAGCCGAGCTTGAGAAGCAGGCGGGATCGAGAGCAGGGTCTCCCCGGAAGATCTCAAACTCCTGGTGGGTTCATAGGCAGAGATGCGGTCAGATAGGTAGCTTGGGCCGGAACCGTTTAGGGCTTTAAAGGCCAACGCCAGCACTTTGAATTCAGCCCGGTAGCAGATCGGTAGCCAGTGGAGTTGGCGCAACAGGGGGGTTGTATGCTCCCTGCGTTCCGCTCCTGTTAAAATCATGGCTGCCGAGCGTTGGACTAGTTGGAGCTTCCGAGCTGTCTTCAAAGGCAACCCCACGTAGAGAGCGTTGCAGTAGTCTAAACGGGATGTAACCAGAGCGTGGACTACCGTGGCCAAGTCAGACTTCCCAAGGTACGGGCCCAGCTGGCGCACAAGCTTTAGCTGTGCAAATGCTCCCCTGGTCACCGCCGAAACCTGGGGTTCCAGGCTCAGCGATGAGTCCAGGGTCACACCCAAGCTGCGAACCTGCGTCTTCAGGGGGAGTGCGACCCCATCCAACACAGGCTGTAACCCTATGCCCTGTTCGGCCTTACGACTGACCAGGAGTACCTCTGTCTTGTCTGGATTCAATTTCAATTTGTTCGCCCCCATCCAGACCGTCACAGCGGCCAAGCACCGGTTCAGGCCCTCGACAGCCTCCTTAGTAGCAGGTGGAAAGGAGTGACAGAGTTGGACATCATCCGCGTACAGATGACACCGTACCCCGAAACTCCGGATGATCTCCCCCAGCGGCTTCATGTAGATGTTAAACAACATGGGAGACAATATTGAGTCCAATTCTGGGCACCACAATTCAAGAGAGATATTGACAAGCTGGAATGTGTCCAGAGGAGGGCGACTAAAATGATCAAGGGTCTGGAGAACAAGCCCTATGAGGAGCGGCTTAAGGAGCTGAGCATGTTTAGCATGAAGAAGAGAAGGCTGAGAGGAGATATGATAGCCATGTATAAATATGTGAGAGGAAGCCACAGGGAGGAGGGAGCAAGCTTGTTTTCTGCTTCCTTGGAGACTAGGACGCGGAACAATGGCTTCAAACTACAAGAAAGGAGATTCCATCTGAACACGAGGAAGAACTTCCTGACTGTGAGAGTTGTTCAGCAGTGGAACTCTCTGCCCCGGAGTGTGGTGGAGGCTCCTTCTTTGGAAGCTTTTAAACAGAGGCTGGATGGCCATCTGTCAGGGGTGATTTGAATGCAATATTCCTGCTTCTTGGCAAGGGTTGGACTGGATGGCCCATGAGGTCTCTTCCAACTCTTTGATTCTATGCCCCAGTTATTAATCTGGCTGCCAACCATTGGACAAGTTGTAATTAGTTGTTTGGCCTTGGCCTTATGTAAGCCGCCCCGAGTCCCCGTTGGAAGAGATGGTGGCGGGGTATAAATAAAGTTTATTATTATTATTATTACTCATAAAAACACTGAAAAACACAGCTGAAAGGACTTAAAAAGCCAAAAAATAAAAATTACATTACAATGCATGCGCAAAACCACATATACACACACACATATATACACACACAAAACACATATACACAGACTAGGCCGCAGCAATGCGTGGCAGAAGACGGCTTGTCTTCTATATAAATAAAAATGTAATGTTCGTTTGTGGGATTGATATAACTCAAAAACCACTGGACGAATTGACACCAAATTTGGATACAATACACCTATCAGGCCAACGAGTGACCATCATTACAATGCAAGTGCAAAACCACATATATACACATATACGCAAATATATCGAATCATAGAATCCTAGAGTTGGAAGAGACCTCATGGGCCATCCAGTCCAACACCATTCTGCCAGAAGCAGGAATATTGCATTCAAAGCACCTCTGACAGATGGCCATCCAGCCTCTGTTTCAAAGCCTCCAAAGGAGCTTCCACCACACTCCGGGGCAGAGAGTTCCACTGTTGAACGCCTCTCACAGTCAGGAAGTTCTTCCTAATGTTCAGATGGAATCTCCTCTCTTGTAGTTTGAAGCCATTGTTCCGCGTCCTAGTCTCCAAGGAAGCAGAAAACAAGCTTGCTCCCTCCTCCCTGTGGCTTCCTCTCACATATTTATACATGGCTATCATGTCTCCTCTCAGCCTTCTCTTCTTCACACATATACACATATATACACACACAAAACACATATACACAGCTTAGGTCGCAGCAATGTGTGGCAGAAGACGGCTAGGCTTCTATATAAATAAAAATGTAATGTTCGTTTGTGGGATTAACATAAGTCAAAAACCACTGGACGAATTGACACCAAATTTGGACACAATACACCTGTCAGGCCAACGAGTGACCATCACTCATAAAAGCAGTGAAAAACACAGCAGAAGAGCCTTAAAAAGCCAAAAAAAAGAATTAACCGTATATTCCGGCATATAAGGCGACTGGGCGTATAAGACAACCCCCAACTTTTCCAATTAAAATATAGAGTTAAGACGACTCCCATGCATAAGACTACACCCGTGTATAAGACGACCCCTGACTTTTGAGAAGATTTTCTTGGGTTAAAAAGTAGTCTTATATGCCAGAATATACTGTACATTACAATGCAAGTGCAAAACCACATATATACACATATACACAAATATATAGAATTCATAGAATTCTAGAGTTGGAAGAGACCTCCTGGGCCATCCAGTCCAACCCCATTCTGCCAAGAAGCAGGAATATTGCATTCAAATCACCCCTGACAGATGGTCATCCAGCCTCTGTTTCAAAGCTTCCAAAAAAGGAGCCTCCAC